TCACCCGAACAAACATGAGCGAACCGATTGTTATCCATTGATGCCCTTAGCACAGAATACGATACAAACTGCCGACGAACGACTCATACCAATGTTCAGTTCCAGCCATGCTGCGAAATTTGGAGTAATGAGTGCGACAGTCTTCTGGGCGTCCAGTGGGCAGGGTAGGCTTGCAACGCCTCAGCCAAGAATGCGCGTCAACCGCGGTCGGTCGTCATGAGTCTCCGCTGTCGCAAGAGATTACAAGCCCCTTACTTAGTACTTGGGCGTTCATGAGAACAGCATTTACTGGATGAATTTATCAGCTAATTCTATCAAGACCTCAAAGAGCCGGAAAGCGACCGGTTGTGACTACGCGACGGTCAAGGAATCTTAGTTGCTGAAGGCGACCCGTTGGAGAACCAAAGCTGCAGCATGTTTTCCACGCGCTTTGGTATGATGAGCTTCAGCACAAAACACCAGAGCTGGGCCAATTCAATATGATAAATCCGAATCGTATAGATAAAGTCGCGTCTGTTTAGACCGCCTAGCGTTTCTCTGTAACTAATTAACGTTCTTTACCCTTCGCAAATGCCGGACATCAAAGGAGTCTCAACTGCAATGCTTCGACTCTTTCTTTGCGCGTTTGCTCACCACAACGCAATTCGTGACAAAGAGCCCAACATCGCATTTCATATTTAAAAAGAAGTTATTACTATCAAGCACAGTACTTATTAGCCTAAATTTATCATTACGTCTCGAAAGGAAATGTCTCGTGTCAACATAGTGCTGGGAAACTTACCCTGTACCTCCATGCTTTGGGTGTGACATGCCGCTTCATTCTACTTATGTCGCTCGTCATGTACTCAAGATTGACAAAGTATATCAATCTGATCTTATCTGATTTATGGCTAGTAATGGAGGCCAATATTACGACCAACCTGTTTGAGTTTCCATCTGTGCTATGGATTGTGGCGTGCATGCCATCAACCAGACTATCACGACTGAGCTAAGAAACATGCATAAATTCCACAACCTCGGTGACATTTGGTACATTACGAATGGGGCAGCCAAGAAGTTGCTGTCCTAGAAATGGAAAACTAGAGAACGCAGAAAATTATACTACGTACGTGCTGCCTCCGAATGTGTTATGCTCCTTCGCGTTTTCACCCTCATCAACATTTTATGAGTGGACCTGAAGCTGGAAAAATGATGGAAAATCTCGGAGCCCACAACAGCTCCTGATGGTGCCTTAATTAGCGCATACATCGTCCACTTCGACCACTGTTAGCGTCTTCTCAGTGGCACCATGACTGCAGTATTACAGGGGGCTGGCGGGTAATCGGCACAAACAGGGCACCATCTTTGACCATCTTTGACCCACGAGAACAAGGGTCCTCTCTTATGGACCTTCAACTTACAATACAGAGACTCCCCTACGCAAGATGCCTGCTTGTCGCCATCGGCTTCTTCACTCGCGGAGGCATCGGCCAAGTTTACCGTGTTTTGTAACTCTTGGCCTTGCAATGGCTACTGGTTGATCTTATCAGATCTGATTGGACCTGATACCGAAATCGGTTCAGTGGGGTATAAATAAGTAGCAAAATAAAATCTGGAGATGCAAAGATCGCATTGTCTGTCTGATAGCAGCCAAAACAAACAAACAGTTCAGATTAATCATCCCAAAATGTCTTCACAGCCCTTCCAGCAAAAGTCACCAATCAAGATTAGGCTGCCTGAGCCTTATCTCACAACATACTATCTCGAGCCCATTGCTGAGAACAAGCAGTCCTATCGTCTGCGCAAAGACGAGTCTGCAAAGGATGGCAAGCCATTCCCCAAGGCTCTTCACGGCGATGACCTAGTCTTCTCCAAGATCCCAACTGCGGAATCTGACAAGATTCCTGATTCTGATAACCGCGAGTATGCGCGCGCGCGACGAAGTCCCGTCTGGTTGCTGAGCTGGGAGAAGGAGACACCCACACTCGCCCAGACCTGGATGTTCTTGTACACTTTCTTCGCATACACTTTCGACGTTGAGCAATTCCGTCTCCGTCTCGAGGGCTCTGGGGCCGAGGAGCTGGCCAAGGCTCTCGTCCTCTCCATGGTCGCCATCAACATGCCTCAACCCCCCAAGGGCGTTGAGCCTGCGCCCAGCACCGGCGTCGAGGTGCTTGTCTCTCGAAGCGCCTTCTGGCAGGGATGCGCCTCTCCATTGGGTCAGCAACCCATCTGGCTTCCTACCTGGAACTCTCTGAACGTGACGCCTCATTTGGACTACGTGATGACACCTACCTCCGAGTCTACTCTTCTGCGTCACCCGCGCCGAACACCCAAGCCTGATCCTGGAAGCTGCTTCTACAGTCGCTACATCCCATCTCTTGATGAGCACTTCAACCTCATCGCTCTCGACTACGAGAACCCGGAGCACCTGCGTCTGTTCAACACATGGCAGAACGACCCCCGTGTGGCTGCGGGATGGATGGAGACTGGTACTCTTGATGAGCACCGCACATATCTCAAGAACATCCACGAAGACCCTCACCAATTCGCCGTTCTGGGTTACTTCAACGACATCCCATTCGCCTACTTTGAGCTGTATTGGGCCAAGGAGGACAAGATGGGCCAGCACTACGCTTGTCTCGACTTTGACCGTGGTAGGCATTCACTTGTCGGCAACGACAAGTTCCGCGGACAGTACCGTGTCATGGCTTGGTGGCCCAGCGTGATGCACTATGAGTTCCTCGACGACCACCGCACTGAGAACGTTGTCGGTGAGCCTCGTCTGTCGAGCGAGGGTGTCCTCAAGTACGAGATGATCTTCGGTCTGCACCAGGACAAGTGGATGGACCTGCCTCACAAGCGATCCAACCTTGTTAAAATCTCTCGCGAGCGCTTCTTCCAGATCTGTCCCTTCAACCAGGGCAAGCCTCGCGTGGCTGGCACGACCTTTGGCTTTGAGCCCAAGCTGTAAATAATGAAGACATGTCATTAAAAGTTGGTAGATGGAGCAGTATTATAGCTTCATTAGGGTAAATAGTGTTAGCGACCTTTTTATATTTTATATATATATATATATTTTTTTTTTAAATAATTTGTCAATCAGAATATTGTTGATCTGTATCTGTATCCTCTTGGCAGTGAGTCGCAATTATGAGGCACAGCGCTGAAGCAATTCGCAAGGTACAACTTCACACGGGAATAACTCTGCCAAGATAACGGCCAAGCGCTGATCCGATCTAGCCGATCAAGAATCCTTTTGCACGTTTGCCAAGTCTCAATAACAGTGTCGATCTGTCGTACTTGATGGTCAAGATCAACCACAGAAAAGGGCTTCAAGGCTACATATCACATCAAGGATCTACTTCGATGTTGCCACAAAGCGATACACTTATCGCACTTTGCAAAGGTCAAAGTCTTCCCTACTCTAGTGCTGGAGCAAGCTGAATGAGCTCTCGGGTTAATGGTTGGCTGCGGCGATGTTCCTCCCGCAACCGTAGATGCCCAAATTTGGTCTCTCGTAAGGCCGTATTGGCGTGGGGGACTTCTATACTCAATACGGCGTCTCGTCTCCATTTCTATTAGTTTTAGTGTATCTGGTGTCCCGAAAACTGGACGAGAATGCGCCGCTTGCACGTCCTTCATTTAAGCTTGTTTAGACGGAAATATTCCTCATCCCCGAGGGCTTGCAGCAACTTTAGATCTCGTACTGATCAAATGACTAGCGATACATCACTTCAGGGGTCCTTTTGCAATTGGCTGACGGTGGAGTGACTTGTTCTACTCCCACTATCCGTTGTTGGTTCGGACCCCTGGGGAAGGAACTTGACCTCTTGTGGTGGGATGTCCGTTGGCTGTCATTACAAAAAGTGAGCCCAGAATCAAGCCTCGTCATGCACTCTTGGCCACATATGGTAATGGCTTGTAGGGCTACCGACGACTGAGTAATCTTTCATATGGAGCATCTACGTAGTAAAGGAATCGTTGGTATTTTGCCAAGATGTAGAAATGAGCAGTTCTACTGATGAGTGGAAGAGGAGTGACTCTTAGCGCGCCAAGCTCGGAACGTCGCCAGATACGATGCAGGGTTTTCTTAGCTTGGAGTGTTCCGATATGTTGGTTGAAGCTCAATAAAAGCGGCTGAACAGAATCCTTGTCAAAGGATGCTGTGGTCACGTAGCAGTTAGCAATAAAAATTGCCCCCAAAGGGTGAAGGATCAGGACATTATGAGATGAAGTACTGAAAGCTGCAGAGTGAGACCCGCTGCAAAAGCGGAGGTTACAGTGGGCAAAGACTCAATCCATCAACCAAATTGATCTCTGACGTAGGTAGGATTGTCGTTAATTTGATCCGAAATGCATTCTGCTACACTCCCACTATCCGTCAAGAAACAGATCAACAGATGGCAACCGCGTCAACAGAGGGAAAAAAGACAGAAAATAGCGCAAGTCTCACGCGATCTAATCGATCAATCAGATTAGATTATGAAATTTCTTTCTCTTCTTCGTGACCCCTTGTCCATGCCTCTTCTGGTGCTTTCGCCCACGCCATCTCCACCCAAAAGTCGGGTACTCGGCGTTCGAGGCCTGAACTAACGACAAAGTGGCTGCATTCACTGGAACCCTCGCGTCCCGAGATCTCTCTAGCCAACTTGCTTTGCTTGTCCCCTCTGGCTTCGCTTCTCTGTTGGTTCAGTTCTGTTCTCTGGTTCGACTTATTCCCTAATGTTACCGATCTCGGTGGATTCAAATGGTCAATAGTCTCTTTTAGCCACCATGAACCTGATCTTATCTGATGGAGTTTTGTATGGGTCCCAATATCCATCCATCCTAAGGTGAACGTGTTGGTTACAGTCTAGCCAGAACGCACCCTTGCTAGAGGACCTCTTTTTTTGTGTTATTTTCTCCGACTGTCTGCGTATAACCATCTGCCATTCCCTCCCATGACTGAAGCTCTCTCTTTTCTCTCCTTGTCTTCCCAAGATTAAGCTTAATTGATACCCCCAAGAGACAATATCACCATGGGAGTTCTCGACAAGGTCCAGCTCACCCTTGGCCGCAAGGGCAATGAGGGTACTGCTGCTGAGCAGCCCGTAACTGTCACCACCTCCGTCAACGAGAAGGACCAGGAGGCTGGTGTTTTCCCCGACGATGGAAGCAACAGCGATGCCGTCACTGAAAATGCGCAGCATGGTGTTCAGACTGTTGAGGCTACCACGTTGGCGTGGAGCAAGAAGGCTCTTGTTGGCGTCTTTATCTTGTACGTTCTTGGTTGTTTTGTCGCAATTGAAGACTCGTGGACTGACTTCTTTGCAGTATGTGGTTGATCTACCTTACCAACGGTTTCCAGAGCCAGATCAATTACACTCTGGTCCCCTACGCAAGCAGTGAGTGGGAGTCTCACTCTCTCATTCCTGTCATCGGTGTTGTCGCCAATTGTATGACTGCCGCTGTCTACATCCCTCTGTCCAAAATTCTCGATCTCTGGGGTCGTGCTGAAGGCTTCCTCCTCATGGTCCTCTTTGCCACTATTGGAATGATCATGATGGCTGCCAGCCAGAACCTCCCTACCTACTGTGCTGCCTATGTAAGTCACCAACTCTCACCCGCAATATTCTCCATGTACTGATCTCTCCAAGGTCTTCTGGCAGGTTGGTTGGTCTGGTCTAACCTATAGTATCGACGTTATCACGGCCGACTCTACACAGCTCAAGAACCGAGGTCTCGCGTACGCTTTCACCTCGTCTCCTTACATGATTACCGCCTTTGCCGGTCCCAAGTCCGCTGAGGCTTTCCTTCTCAACGGTGACCAGTGGCGATGGGGCTTTGGCACCTTCTCCATTGTCCTCCCCGTCGTCGCTGCGCCTCTCTACGCTCTTTTGAGGTACAACCTCCAGAAGGCCAAGAAGCAGGGTCTTCTTGCTCGTGAGTCCAGTGGTCGATCAGTCTTGGAGAGCATCAAGTGGGGTCTTATCGAGTTTGATGGTAAGTGAAAATTGCACACAATGATCCGAACGATAACTAATTGTCGCCAGCTGCCGGTGCTTTCCTTTTCGCTGCCGGTCTCGTCATCTTCCTCCTCCCCTTCTCTATTGCCAGCATGGCTCCTCAAGGGTGGAAGACACCTTACATCATTGCCATGATCATCCTCGGAATCGTGCTTCTGGCTATCTTCGGCCTCTACGAGCGCTTTGTCGCCCCCAAGCCCTTCCTCCGATTCGACATCCTCGTCGGCCGCACCGTTATCGGTGTCTGCCTCCTCGACTTTATCTACATGATCGCTTATTACTGCTGGAACAGCTACTTCACCTCGTTCCTCCAGGTCGTCAACAACCTCCCCCCTTCAGAGGCTGGATACGTCAGCAACACATTTGAGATTGTCTCTGGTATCCTTCTCTTCATTGTTGGTTACGGTATGCACAAGACCGGTCGCTTCAAGTGGCTTCTGTGCATTGGTATCCCTCTGTACATCTTCGCCCAGGGTCTTATGATTCACTTCCGTCAGCCTGGCCAGTCTATTGGTTACCTCGTCATGTGCGAGGTATTCATCTCAATCGCTGGCGCTACCTTTATTCTGTGTATGCAGGTTGGTGTTCTCGCTGCCGTCGAGCATCAGTATGTCGCTACCGCACTTGCCACTCTTAGTGTTACCGGAAACATCGGAGCTGCTGTCGGCGGTACTATCTCTGCCGCCATCTGGACCAACACCTTCGAAGCGAAGCTCTCCGAGTACCTTCCCGCTTCCGCCCAAGAGAACGCTGCCCTCATCGCGGGAGACTTGGACAGCCAGTTAATGTATGAGATGGGCAGCCCTGAGCGCCTTGCTATCCAGAAAGCCTATGGATATGGTCAGGCACGCATGTTGGGTGTTGGCACCGGAATAATGTCCATCGCCCTTATTTCGCTGTTCTTGATCAAGAACTATGATCTCAGGACGATCAAGCAGACCAAGGGTACCGTGTTTTAAGAAGACTCGGTCTTGGACAACCTCAAACTTAATTAATGACGAGATCACGTGTGACCTCCGAAAAAGCATGTTATATTTAGTTATGTTTAGTTAAAATGATTCTGTTTAATGTCGAATGATGGTATTGTGGCTTTTTTACGATGTTGTTGAGTGATGAGTATGCTCTCATGTTCAGATTGCGCTGAAAGAATTTACTACTAGAAAATAGCCATAGCTTGTTCCGCCTTATCAAAGTGAATAAAACACATCTATGGACTTTCAATTCAACCAAATAGTCTCAATTATTGCGCTGGAATGAAGGGTCGCTGTCTGTGATGTTCAATCTCAACTTCACTCGCCATAACGATCGTGCGATATGCTGTAAACACACCCGGATAGACAATTGCAATGCGATTTTAAAAAATGTACTTCGATGCTTCTATCTCTGATTATTCGTTATATCTTGCCAAGAATGAAATTCATAAGGCTCTGCTGAAGACCTGTCACCGCCACACTTCCATGATCCTCACCCGCGAACTCTCGTGTCCAGATCTTCTTCACGCTCGGACTCTTCTCCAATCGGGATGCTAATGTCTGTGCAGCTTCCCTCATCTCGTCATGCTCAGCGCAGTTCTGTCGCTTCCACCACTCTTCGTCAGTCTCTTGAGGTTCTCTGACCAGTTCTGACTTGCCAGTGCCCCATGTAAGCGCCAGCGAAAATGGAGGATCAACAGGTTTGTTGCGAGCGAGGAAAGTCTTTTCAGGTTTGCGGATCAAGAAGTCCTTGTTCCACCAAATGACGGGACTGGCAATTAAGTAACTGTTGAAGAGCTCTGGTTCAGTGAACATGGTGTTGAGAGCGAAGATGCCGCCGTAAGAGTGGCCATACAAGGCTTTGCGACCGGTGTGTAAGTTGGCGTTGGGGAAGAGCTTGTCCTCAACATAAGGCATGACGTCTGTCTTCATCCAGTCTAGGAACTGCTCGGCTTCACCAAATGAGATGTCGGTACGAGGCTTTCCATGTCTGTCAAGAGGCATGTCATACTCTTCAGCGAATGGGGTCAGATCTGGGCCCCGACGGAAGTCATAGACATATTTACTGGGCGGGTACCCAATGCCTACGATGACAGTTCTTGTACTATTGAGATATTCCAAACGCCGAGAGACGTCAACAGCTGTGAAGAAATAGGCATTTCCATCGACCACATAACTGTATGTTATTAGGTTGATGCTCAGTGTTTGTGATCCAATTGAAGTTTTACTCACACCAGGTTGACCTTCTCATCTTTGGGGGCAACACGATCCTCGCCCCAGCACAATGGCCATGCTACTTGAACAAGGTAATCGCCCCTCTTAGTCTTGGCGAGCCACTCGAGAGTATTAGGGACACGAGCGTGCCCATGACTGTGCTCAGTTGCCATAGTCCTGCGAGTATGTGAGAGGTGAATGAGACTTCGTGGTGGTGATAGTGATGGCGATAATGACGGACGAGCACGAGCGAGACAGCGCAGCATGGATGAGTGACGTGCAGCAACAGGCAGCGAGCTAGGTAAGTTGAGACGAGTCAGCACTCAGAAAAGGATCTGATAAACAGAAGAGAAGATCTGATAAAAAACGCGCATTTCTTCTGCGCACTTATGGGTCTCGGAATGGTGATAGTGGGCCAGCGGTATCGGCGGAACGTTTGGGCAGTCTAGGTCCACTGATTCCGGAGTGCTGTTGGCTGCTGATGCGTCCAATTTCCACTAAATCTGGTGTGCATGGGACAATTTAGGCGGTTATGTTCGGTAAAAGGTGTCGAGATCCTACACAGGATGGGACAGCATGTAGGTGTGTGACAGTTATATACACTGAACGTGGATGGAGATTTTTTTTGTTTAATTGGAAACATTAATGATCTAGTGGCTCGGTAGAAGGCTGCTTCACTGTTGTCTATGTGTTAATGTGTGAGTTGTGAAGCCCACTGTGATCGCAAGTCCAGCGGCAATGAAGCAGACGATACCACGACGGCGACACAGAGCTTCTGAGCGACTTGATGGACAATCCAGAGACTCAATGTTTTTCTACTAAATAGTACGCGTATGTAGATTGACAGACCGAGAGGTGAGGGGGAGCCTGGGATGGCATCAATTGATATGACCTCAGGCTCAAGGAAGAGACCTGTGAAAGATGCTGGCTACAAGTAACGAAACCTGCAATTGAGATCTAGGAAAAGATTACACATGAATAGAACAAGATGTAATCTGATAAATCGCATAAAGCGACCAGACGATTTAGTCTCTTATGCTAGCAGTGTTGTGTCTTCCACCAGCAATGTTTCAGTCTGCGACAATAACACCACGACAGCGGATTGCCTCTCTGGTCAGAGAAATGAATCAAATAATGGCAATCATACACATAACGTTTTCATACAACCACAGACACTGTCAAGCCATCCTGTGACTCTGGGCTTGTAGCAAGACTGTGCCTGTCAAACATGACAATGAGTACATATTTGCAAAACTGAAGCAGTCTCTCAACAATAACACTTGGTGAGATGGCCGAGTTGGTTATGGCGCCAGGTTAAGGTTAACCTTAACACCAATTTCCTGGTGGAGCAATCCTCCTGGGTTCGAGTCCCAGTCTCATCATTTCCTTTTGCACCTTGCAAGACGTGCTCCTTTTTTGCTGATTATCTCGATGGTATCAATTGAGTATGGCACAATGAGAACGATGCGACGGTCAATGCTCTGTCACATCCACTTTGCAGTACTCAGCGACGCCTCCGCAGTCGTCCATGCGCTGAAAGCTCTAAGCACTAGAGAGTGTAAAAATAAATGAGCTACGAACCCGACCCAAGACCTCATAAACCGACTTGTAGATTTCGTCTCCTATGTTTCAATAAGCCAAGTTTTCACATCATTGGCATTCGCTGGGTCTTGCTGGATTCCCGCAACGGTTATTTTAATTGGTGTTTCTGCCATTTCAGTAGTTTAAAGATGAATCATGTAGACCAGTTGTTGAACGAGTTTGTTTAAATATGTGATAATAATTGGTATCCTATCATGGAAGCCCTCTAGATGGTCTATCTAAGAAGTAGTCTTGGAACTATTGTTTAAATTTTGTACGGTAACGAAATGTTCATCCTCAGTGCACCGCCTGCTTAAGAGCGACGCTGCATACGGCGACGCTGGCGCTGGCGCAGAGATCGTCGGCACTTGGAGCCGGGCTTCTTGACGGGAGTCTCAACAGGCTCGTTAGGGGTAGTAGGAGTCTCAACAGGGCTGCTGCTGTTGTCGCCGCCGGTGGTGGGAGGGACAACAGGGCTTGACGAACCACTTCCACCGTTGAGGATCTTGGAGGCAGCGTGCTCAGCAACGACCATGACAATGGCCTGGGTGTTGCCTGTGGGAAGATCTCTGTGGATGCTTGCATCGACAACGTAGAGGTTATCGGTGCCCCAGACCTTGGTGTCAGTGTCGACAACGCTGGATCCGTCGTTCTCAGTACCCATGATGGCAGAACCGACAAAGTGGGAGCCGCTAACATACTCAGCCATAAGGCTCTCGGCAGTAGCGTTACCGGCGATGCTAATGGTGCTGTTGGGCTTGGAAGTCATGTCAATGAGCTTCTGCATGAAAGACTTGACGGCCTCCTTGTCAGCGGCGTCGTTCAGGTAAGGCTCGCCAATCAACTTGGTAGCACCAGAGCTTGTAACCTCGAGAGCACCGCTGGAGGTAGAACCGTGGGTGAGGTAGACCTTGAGCTTAAGAGCATCATTGCCAGCAGGAGCGCAAGTGCCCTGAACGTATCGCTCGACACCGTCAGAACCCTTGACACTGTCCCAGAAGATGAATCGCTGACCAGACTGGGCAAGAAGACCGGTACCCTGAGCGTAGAGATCAACGTCCTCCTGGCTAGGCGCGGTGAATGCAGTGTCGGGGAGAGCAGTCATAGGTGACTTGGTCTTGACCTTGACGGTGAAGATAGGGTGGTCCTTGAGGTTCTCGCCAACGGGAAGGTTGATCCATTGGTCCTTAGGAGGCATGGTAAGGCGCTGGCTGCCGCTGGCAACAGTCTCAATCTGCTTGGCAGGACCAATACCAGAGTTGACGAGAAGACGAGGGGTAGAGAGGGCACCAGCAGCAAGAACAACAGCACCGCCGGTCTTGACCTTGATAATCTGGCGGGTAGAAGGGCCAGACTGGATCTCGACACCAGTGATCTCCTTGCCCTCACGCACAACTCGCATGACCTTGCTTTCGAGCATGAGTTTGAAGTTGGGGTTGGCCTGGGCAAGAGGGAGATAGTCACGGACAGGGCCAGCACGCTGACCATCGGTGATCATCATAGGGGGGTGAGTGAACACAGCCTTCTTCTTCTCGGGCTGAGCGATGGCATCAACTTGGCTGAAGCCGTTTCCAGAGAAGAACTGGCTCAGAATAGTGTAGGCAGACTGGTCGACCAATTTACCGTCCTTCGTGGGGCTTAGGGTACCGGGTGTGCGCTCCCAGAGTCTGGAGGCGGCGGCCTCAACGTCGTTGTACTTCCAGCCGGCAGGCCACTTATCATCAAAGTCAGCAGGCTGAGGACGAACGAACATCATGGCATTGACACTTGTTCCGCCACCAAGAATGCATCCAGCCATGCTCGCGGTGTCAGTACAGTACTCAGAGGTGTCGATTGCACTATTTGTAAGGTGATATGCCATGGCCGGCACATCATACTGAGTAGTTGTATCATTCCAGTCCATGACAGCCTTACCACCAGTAGAGTAAAAAGAGGCCTTGCCACGCTCAAGGAGAAGAACGGACTTCTGTGACTCGAGAAGACGCTCAGCGACGATCAGTCCGGAGGCACCACCACCGACCACGATGTAGTCGTAAGTCATGTTGGAGACCACAGTGGTGAAGTTACCGGTAGAAGGGACAGTGCCATCGGAGCCGGAGCCGGAGCCAGGAGTAGCAGAGCCATCAGAAGCCATAGCAGCCCAGGTCTCGTAGTCGGCAGACTGAGAAGAACCAGCATCAACGGAGAAACCACCAAAGCCAGCACCGTGGTAGTTGAGAGCACCGCTAGCATCGGTAGGATCGTCGAGAGCAGTAGTGCTGAAAGCGAAAGCCATGACAGCGTTGGCGTCAGAGGCCTTGAAGGTAGTGCCGTCGGACTTGATACATCCCTCACAGAGGAAAGTGAAGGTGAAAGAGTCAGCGCCAACCTTGACACCCTTCTCGATGGGTTTGATCTTAACGGTATCGTCATCCAAAACATCAGGGTTTGTGTATCCGGAAGCTTGACGAACAGAGCTAAGGACCTTGCCGTCGTTGGGCCAAGCAACGATGAGAAGCTTCTTGCTCATGGTAGAGCCCATACCAACGGAAGCATATCCCTCAGAAATGGGAGCAATGATTTGACCAATAAAATCGGTGCTGGGGGTCTCTGGCATAGCAATACCGAAAGAGAACTTGCTGGTCTTGTCGACGAATTGCTGGAAGGTGATTCCTGTGTCGGCATCCTTGTACTCCTCAGAAGCAGCCGAGACAGCCTGGAACATCAGCGCCGCTGATGAAATAAGTGTTGAGAAACGCATGATTGCGGCGTTTCAGTCGAAGTATATAATCTGTGTATATCGATCTCAAAGAAAGTGATTGATTTGATAGTGGTAAAAGACTGGACGAGACGAAATGAAGATACACAGTACAAATGAATGTTGGCAACCAGTGCCTGTAAAGAACGAAAAAGGATGAAAAAAGAAAGAAAGAAAGACTGATAGACCAAGCTAGATGAAGTGCATCAAGATCTCAAGAACATGCTGAAGAAGTGAGATGTCGTCCGTTATATACAGATCCTACCAAACAAATGCCGTTTCCTGCGGAAATTCGCTTCCGAACGCTCGGGACAGTTTTTGCAAACGTCGAAAACGGTATTGGTGGCTTAATTGCATGAAATCGGCCAATATTCGCTATCATTGTGGAGGAAGATGAACCACTTCGCCTACGGGATGGTAGGAAACTTGGCATCCAAGCTTAGGATACAAAAAATAAACAATCTAGGAGCCAGTCTAAAATGGTATAAAGTGAATAAACTATTTTGTCTCGCCGGTAAGTGGGAGGCATGAAGTTTTCTGCAACCCTGCCACCACTCAACTAGCCTCCATTGCTTCAGGTTGTTTGAGACGGGGAATCCTACTCCTTGCCATCTATTTCAGAGGTTGTCATGTTGATGGTCTTTTCTCCTATTGGCTGTGGGCCTGGTTTCAGGATGACGGTCCAGATCTCCGAACAAGGTAACAGAGCCTCTGTGGGCCCGAGTCGTTATGCGAAACGACGCCAGCGAGATTCAACGAGGCTCTTCCCTGGCCTGACCTGACAGGATCGGCAGGATCAGGAACCGTTTCAATCTTGCGGTGCTGGGGGCTTGTCAAATGCCGTAGTCTCGGGACTTCGATATGGCAGATCAGGAACAGAGATATTACGACTCTTGGTGAGAATTTAGTACGAGTACTCTGTAATGTCTAATCAATTGAGACTCGCTAGTTGACAGTTCATTTGAGTTTAAGATTGACACTCTAAAGCTATGATTGATTGTAAGCTTAAAAGGAGGAGCTGTCAAGAATTGTCTTTCTGTAACCCCTCGCGCGCTTAGACGCGTCATTCCTCTCAGCTGAGATTGGAATATGACCAGGGGGTTAAAACTAACCTACAAAGGCCATAGAAGACGAAATTAGTGAGACATTCGATACTATTTTTACCAGTTACTAAGAATGTTTATTTTCTGTGACCTAAAGCTCAGAGTCGACCTTTCTGTCACCTCCTCACATGGGTAAAAATATTCATGACTCGAACCGAAACAGGGCGCGAAACGAACCCGTGCCTCATTTAAATAATACAAACAAAGCATAGCCAAGTCGGGAGAATCTCCACCTGTCAAACTTTACAATTCTTCCACAACACATCATTTCCACTGCTAATTGTTTACCCGCTGCTGCTTAATCAAATTTCCATTCCTTATCTCAATTCCTTGGTTCGCTCATCAGCAGCTGTTATCCACTCCCTCAATTTTGATTCAGATCGGGCTTTAAAGCCAACCTTGAATGGCTTTGGGTCTGTAGTCAGTGAAGTAGGCACCGCGTTGCATTCAATCGAGTCCATGATTGCCTCGTCCTTCTTATCTTTCGGAGGAACCATCTCGAAAGCTGTGATAAGACGGATGAAAGCCGTGTAAAGCTCGCGGTTGGCCAGATGAGAACCTGCGCACATTCGTGATCCGGCTCCATAGGCGTAATGCGGTGTTCCGATTTCTTTATCATCCATATATCGTTCAGGGTTGAACTCAAAAGGCTTTGTGAATCGCGCCTCATCGTAGTCTGCGGCGTATGCATTCTAGAACAGTCAGCCTTGTGCTTCAAAGACGAGACGATAAGGCAGAGCAGGGCATAAATGGCAAGGCTGCCACGCGCAAGCAGGGCTGTCTTACCATGAAGAATGTTGTTCCTGCAGGGATCGTAGCACCCTTGTACGGGATGTCCTTGATGTTGACTCGCGGCAAACAAATCGGAATAACCTATACCATGCAAAAAAAGGATATTAGCCAACATATTATCCCGAACACCAGGTTTGATCTTACCGTCCAGAATCTCAGGATCTCCTTAACGAGGGCTGTGATATAGGGGACTTTTTCTTCCACGAGACATCGTTCCCATGCTTCGCCGTTAGGGTAAACCTTGTGGATCTCTTCCAGAGCCTTGGCTTGGATCTCTTGGCCGTGAGGTGTCGCGAGATATGCTATGCCCATGATGAGGTTACCCGGGACTGTATCCAAACCTGCAGATACCATGGTGAGGCAGATAGATTTGATCTCAGCTGAAAATTTGTTAGTTTTTGCTGAAATTTGATAAACATTTTCTTGCCTTCATTCAGTTTTGCTTCCGGGTCCTTCAAGATATTTCCAGTAATACAAGGCTTGTCTGTGCCCTCTGCGATGCGACTTTTAAGATGGTTCAACATGTCGGTCAGATACTTGTCGCGTCTCGCTCGAAATTCTCCAGCTGATGAGTTCTGTGCTCCCCATAATCGTAGCAAAGGCACATAGTCTTGCCAGTTGTTGCTTGTTGACCTAAAGTTGGAAATTTCCCGTTCCACATGGGTAATTTCGTGCAGCAACTCGCTGTTCACATCCCCGTTGATGCGATATCCATAGTTAAGAGTCAGAGACGTGTTGAGAGCGAACCGAGCAAAGTAGGGGGAAGGATCAAGATCTTTCGTCCCTTTCTCGCAATCATCCAATAGTTCTTTAATGCTAACAAAAGACTCGAGGTCAAGAATTGGCATGTATGACTGGGTGGCAGGGCGGTTGAGGGCAGTTGCTGCAGCCTTTCGACGGGCCTTGCACGACTCGTCCCAGGGCGAAGTGCCGATTGTGAATCCCTGAGAAGTTGAAACTACTGAGTGGAACGTGTGGAACATGGGGCGCGAGATGAGGGCCGACTGGTGAGTGATCCAGAAATGCTTGACAGCGTCATAAGAATTGACATAAACGACTCGCTGAAAAGGTCAGATACACAACTGACAGTATCAACTCTTAATACGTACCTTGTTACCGAGACGGGTTTGAAAGACAGGACCGTACTTTGCGACCCATTTTCGCGCAACTCTTGCATGATCTGTTCCCAGCTGAAATAGATTTCCAAAGAGTGGCACACCAGGAATTTCGGGGATACCCTTGATCTTGGGCTTATCTGTTGAGTTTGCGAGTCTGTACAGTAGGAGCAAGCCTACGAGGACAGCAGCGTAGAGAATCTGATCCGACATGGTGAGAGCACAATGTGGGAGAAATGTCTTTGAGACTTTAACCAGCTGATGGCTGACTGGCTTTTTATAACTACATCAATTGAAATGTCCTGCTCACAATTCCGCAACGTGACTTCATTCCCCCTCAAGTGCTCGGTCGGAATCTGCAGACGATCCCCAGGCTTATTACCGAGTAAGCGGGGAAGCCTGTGCCGATTCCGATGATTGCCATGAATAAGACACTTTCCATTGGTCACTCAAGTCCCTTCTGACGTTATTGTTGTACACGTCGGATTCAACTAAAGAACAAATAATCTGACTCGTTGCGACACATAAACATCTGGATCCAATTGCCGAATTGCTATGTGCATATGGGGAATCCACTGAGGTAGGTAGTATGAAAGTCGGCGGCTAACATGAGAGACGAAATTACTTAGGTAGTTTATGCTGCTTAGGCAAGACTCTTAGACTAGCTATTTCTCCATGTACCCTAAAATCTATCTAGAGGCCAGCAATTTATTAACGGCGATGCTCCTGGAAATGATTCACTTCTCGTTCCCGAACATTCTTGAATGACCCAGACTGGCCGCTTCTTCCTCATCTATTCATAGTTACAAGATCATGGTCACGTGGCATCGCAACCTCCTGCCTTTTGTCTAGACGCTCGAGTTGGCTGAGCATCTTCTGAACATCCTCTCAGCATCCCCCGAACCCTCAATTACTTCAGTGTCGTTGAAACACCTGTCGGTCCCTACGACAATGCCTGCGCGCACCGCTGCCATCACTATCACAGCGCCTGACGGCACTCTGGTGCCTGTGCCTATCTTCCCTGTCCCTGTCGCTGCGGATGCCCCTGAGGTTATTCCCGCCCATGAGTTCTTCGCTCAGCAACTCGCGGCCCCTGAGCCTAGCTCACCACCACCAGCTGGTTTTGGTACGTTCTCCTAAGCTGCTCATAAGCTACTTACAAGCTTTAACTAATGACTATTACTCTGTATAGACTATCAGAATGCGTCTTTCGATGAGGTTTAGGATCACCTCTTAAAGCACACAGCCAATCAACTGACAGAAGCAGGAGAAGGAGGACATGGCCTACTCGAAGCTACCAGATACAGTGGCCGAGTGCAAGGCTAAGAGAGTGGCAAGTGAGGGGGAGGAAGAGGCTGCTAATGAAGAAGCGCCTGCTATGAAGAAGACGAAGTCCAACTAGATATCATGGGAATTTGTGTTCCACGCAGTATAATCGTAGTGGACTGTCTATCTAGGTTCCACCCACCCCAAATGGAAATAAAACAAGTCAGTGGATATGCTATTTCTTTTTCTCCAATCTTAACACCTCTTGGTATGCTCGTAACTCCTGCTTCTCCTCACCACTCAAGAGACTTGTCCACGTAAAAGCCTGGTCCTCGCCCCAAAGACGAAACCGTCTCGGATTATTCCCTTCTGCGCTGGGATCATCGATCATTTCCATGTGCGCCATACGCTCGTCATCCCAAATACCAAATCCCAAGCGCCTGAATGGGCGAAACAACAGCCCTTCAGTCATTCGACGACCACGTGGAGGACACAAGATATCCGCAGCCCAACGAGAGCCCTTACTCCCAGACATTACAATTTCATCATGAGGATACAAAACCTTGCCAGAATAAAAGGCTTTCGGCTGACGAACTACCGTCTTTGGCCACTCCAAACTTGAATTTTCGCCTTTCGGTCGTGGTAATCGCAAGTGTTCCTCCTTCAAGGGCTGGAAGCCAGTATCAAAGAAAACCCCCAATCTGTTGTGCTCAATATGCGTGCCTCCCACACAGGAACTTTCATTAGGAACCCCTTTCAAAAACGCGACATAAATTGCCGCTGCCCACATGGGCTCCCATGACAGCTGGATGTTTGACTTTTCAAGTATTGGAACGCATGGATCCCCCTTTCCCATATGTCGTATTGCCTTGACGTCGTCTGCAGGCCAGTCAAGGCGGCCCTCATAAACAGCATTGCTTAGTTCATATCGTAGCTGAAGAGTACAGAAACCAAGGATAATCCTCTGGGTTTCATACCATGAAACTTCTTCTCCAGCATTGATCTCATAAGGTTGGCCCCAAGGCTGGCTGCCAGGCAGATGACCCCAGAGAGGCCGTTGGGCGAGAAACGAAGGCTTCTCAGCAAGGTGATGAGGACTAGCGGATTTAATACGCTCGAGAAAGAAGTCAAAGCATTCACCCGACAATGCCAACAGTCTCCTAATAAGAAAGAGCATTTCATGTGCCGAAAAGGCTCGTCTGCCCCCTAATACGTCTTTTAATCGAATCCTTGGGACACAATGTGGTGGCGTTGTCCTAGTAGCTGGGACACCTTCCAAATTTTTGGACGGCGCGATAAGTTCAAGGATGGAAGATTTGAGACCATCTGCTGGTTGATTCTCTGTTGAGAAATCCCTGGCCAAAGCTATGAGACGCAGGATATAGGGAACCCAACACGTAACACCTAGATCCGTTATCATAACGTGCCTTTTCCGGCTGTCACCATCAGTGGTAAGAGATCCGTACGAGGCGGAGAAGCCCCATGAGTCAAGTAGTCCATCTAGAATCGCGACGCCCAATGGACTATTGAGGAACCGATAGACTCCCGGAGAAGCTCTGACGATGTTATGAAGACTTTTGAAATCGGGAAGATCTGCTAAGATTGCAGCAACAAGCTCAGTCGGTATCTTTGCGAAGACATCCATTACAATGAGTCTCTGGTTCGAGGGAATGCTTGATGAAAGGTTGATTATCGCTCCTTCGCAGATATAACGTCAGCATGCGGTTTAATGCCACGCGCTTCTGATTCGTGTTATTTGACAAACATATTATGAGCCAATAGGATATTTTGTCACGCGCCGTGATGACGTCTCAAATCAGATGTGGCTAGATGGTGAGATGTTGCGTGGGTAGCCGAGAAGCTGGTCTCCTCAGTTTTTAGGGTACAAGAATAAATAGCATAAGAAGTCTGGTCTAAATAGTATAAGCTGACCTACTAATTTCGTCCCTTATGCTTCCAGTAGCCAATATTTTAATACCCTGAGGGGTATGACAACCATATGATGCTATTGAGTAAAGCAAGTATTCCACCTGGCCCGTCCTTCAGGTTTGAGCAGGTCATAGATGAGCTGGATATACAAGATGAAGCTGGCGATTTTCATTGAACGTTATACATTTATATTGGCGTGTTCAAGGACCATCAGACAAGATGGACAAGGTAGAAAAGGATACCAGGTGAAGATCAAGTATTTACAGAAATAGAAACAAAAAACAGTCTTGACTACTATTTTCCGGTACGAGAATAGTTATTCTTGGATAGAATAGAACTCGATTAGCCCTGCTTGATCAAGTCGGCAGCCTGAAGTAGTTAGCAACTTGCATATTGAACGATACTAGAGGAACTCTTACCTTTTCGGCCATGGCGTATACAGTGGTCATGGTGTGGGTTGCGGGCAAAAGAGGCATGATACTAGCATCAACAATCCTCAGACCAGAAACGCCGTACACGCGAAGCTTTTGGTCAACTACACCGCCCTCGCTGCGGCTGCCGATCTTGCAGGATCCAGCTGGATGGAAGAGAGTTGAAGCACTTGAGCGAACAAATTTTTCAATATCGCTATCGCTGGTCACGCCGGCACCAGGAACTATCTCCAAGGGACTAAGAGCCTTGATTGAAGGTGAACCAGAGAGCTTTCGGGCAAATCTGACGCCTTCAACGAGTAGCTGGACGTCAAGAGGGTTCTTCAAAAGCTCAGGATTGGCTACAGGGGAATCAAAGATGTTGGAAGATTTGGCCTTGACAGATCCGCGAGAGTATGGGTGCTGAAGACCCAGAATTGCAGCGCCATCACTCCAGATGATCTCGAGCATAGCAGAGTTTGTATCGAGCAGCTTGTCATTGAGAACCTTTTGTTGCTTCTTGTAACCCTTAATAACCTCGGAGGGAGTACCCGAGGGCAGAAATTTGGAGCCGTCTTGGCTTTTGGCCTTCTTGGAAATGGCCGAAGCAGAGCTTGTGTAGTTCGAAAGAGGCATGAAAAGCAGGAAGTCTCCGGTGGGAGAAGTGTAAGGTCCCTTCTTTTGGCTGTCATATTGAGCGCGGGCTTCAGCTGCAAAGGTGGCGTTGCTGGTCAGGTTACCAGTTTGTAGAGGTGCGTTGACTGTTCGCGGTTAGTTGTTTGCATTAACTCGGCATAAATGAGACTCACTGGTGCTGATAACTGCGAGAAGAACATGGTCGTGGAAGTTTTGACCAACAGCAGGAAGATCAACAACGACAGGAACATCGATAGAGGACAACAAAGCAGGGTCACCAATGCCAGAGACCTGAAGGATCTGAGGAGTGTGGATTGAGCCAGCAGCAAGAATGACCTCCTTCTTTGCTTTGACTTTGTTCCTCTTACTATCTTTGCTCTTTGCGAACTATGAATTGTTAGCATAAGAAACAACACGCAAACAAAACAGCATTATACCTCAACTCCGGTAGCTGTGACAGAATTTCCGCTTTTCTTGGTGAGAACACGTGTAACCTGGTGACCTGAGAGTAGCTGGAGATTCTTGCGGCTAGAGACAGCACTGTAGTAGTCTTGCGCAGAAGAGCGCGCGACGGTTTTGGGGTTGATGTTGTGAGGACAGAAGTATCCTCCGATAGCGTTGCCGTTCGCTTGGTCGACAGAAATGCTGATATCGAGTTCCTCTGCAGCCTGGGCGAAGTTCTCTATAAAATACTATCAGTACAGGCCCGACCAAGCAATGGGACTAGTGAGTGAATGGGAATTATAGTGGGCAGCAGAGAATTTGCCGTTCGAAGTCTTAGAGTACAATCTCTTATGCTTCTAGTGGCCAGCTTTTCTAACAAGGCGAACTTACTCGTAGTGGGCCAGAAAAATGGCGAGTAAGTGGAGTGGATGAAGCCGGAAGATCCATGAGCAGAAGGATCAACAGTAACTCCATACTTTCTCTTGATCTCAGCTGTAGGCAGAGTGAACTTCTCGTTCTAAAACATGTAAGCCCATATCACCAAAACATCGTTGCCAGAAAGAGCATACTTTCTTAAAATAAGGCAGTAGAGACTTCCACTGCCAGTCGCTGTTGCCGAGCTCAGCCCAGCGATCGTAATCGGACTTTGATCCTCGATCATAGACCATGCGGTTCAGCTTCGTCGATCCTCCGACTACTTTGCCTAAGGGGACTGAGATGTTGCGACCGTTCAAAGACTCACTTGCAGGATACTCAAGTGCCCAGTCGTATTTAGTTCCGACTGCTCCGCCAGCAAGACCGGGAATAGTCATGAAGTCTTCATTGTTGTCGCTGTATTATGTCAGGATAATGGAAGTCATGATGGGGACACTGGTTCATACAAATCACCAGCTTCAATGACGAGCACGGTCACAGCTGTTTGAGACCCGAGTTAGCGGTGGAATTCATTGTCTAATCTTGATATATGCCATACCGGGATCTTCAGTTAATCTGTTTGCAACAGTGAGACCTGAAGCGCCTGCTCCAACAATCACGTAATCGTACTCTGCACGTAGCTTGACTTCTTCAGCCTTTGGGTAGCCTGATGCAGCAGCTACTTGTAGACTACTGAAGACAGCCAGAGTGATAGCTTGGAGGGTAGGCATGGTAAAAACGAGTGACAGGCAAAGAGAGTGTGGGACTATGGTAGCAAATTACAATGCTTGAGAACGATGGGCTGAGACGCGGAGGCGCGATGCGACACTCTTGTACTTTCCGAATCGCAACGCTAGATTTGATAATATGTATCTACCCCGGATTATTGAGCAGTGTAACCAATAATTGACGATGATTCTCGTTTCCCGCGTCCAGTTGCCGACATTGACAGTCCATGCATCCCTTTCCTCATTTGTTTCAGAAGCAGGAACCATAATTGATGCGACTCAGAAGGGATCTATCGCCGCAAACCTTGTTTATAGAACGTGTTTCTGTCGTATCGGAACATGAAAGCGTGTTACTCTGATTGGCTGTTGACAAGGTTTACTGTTTTGGCTTTTAGACCCCTGGCTTTATCTTGACTGAAGACGGTTGCACAGCCGCGTTGGTAACATTCAAATTGAAGATACCGTAAGCAATGGTAATCATCATGCTAAAATGAGTGGGATACAATGAGGAGAAAGTAGCTTGATTGCCGAGTTTACCGAGGTGGTGATGAGGGGACTTGAGATCAGAGCTTGGGCAAAGATGATGATGAACTGAACGGTTTGGTATAGACTACCATGCAGCAGTGGCAATTGGAAGGCTTGCTTCTAACGCTTATGGTACAAAAATAAACGACCTAAAAGTGTGGCCTAAACAGCATAAATTGACTGACCAATTTCGTCTCTTATGTCTGCAGTTGCCGATACGTACCCTGGGAAACGGTCAGTTCTAGTCCCAACTTCTAGCAAGTTACAGTGGGTGGAACCACTGGGTTCTGAACTTGGCCCCTGCAGAGGAATCTCATCAGAGACATTGTAATGACAATTTGTTAAATATCTGCTACCCGGAAGCCATCTTAAAATAATTGTATCGCGTCGCATCAACATGACAATATCCTCATTGCTAATTATACAGATCACCAATGGAGCTCCAGGAGCGAACGTACACCGACTTAGTAGTAACTTGCCCCGACGCCAAAACGGATTACCATCGCCTTTGAGATTTTCAAGCTCTAGGAAATGACCAAGATTAGAAATCTCGAAAGACTCGCCTCTCGGATTGCCAACATTGCTAGCCAGAAATGCTTTGATATCTGGAATGAGTTTGAAGACAGCCACATTAGCATATGGCTCTCCAGAAGGCGAAGTATTGGTGAAGTACCGCCGGGTAGCTTGTTGAACTTTCTTTGCATGTTTCCAAATGGCAGTAGTGCCATCTGAGCTCTGGTCTAAGTCCGACCGAAGTAGTTGCACCTTGAAAGCATCAATGAAATTACCCAGAACATTGTCGACCTGCTTCGGCGGTAGATCAGAACGCAGACTGACTGGTAGGTTGCATGTCAAAGCCTCTGTTGTAGATGGAAGACTGTCATACAGTGCTTTGGCTACAAGAGCCGGAAGCGCTGCTGTGACAGTTGTCTTGTTCTTTTTACACTTTTGTGCAAAGGATCGTAAGACTTCTGGTGCCAGCGAGAGTGATTTGTATCTCGTCTTGCAAGGAACACTGACTGTACTACCTCTCCACTCATTCAAATTGGCAGCATCAGGCACCAGTGGGTTCTCTGGGAGAGGGAGGGAATGGAGATCTTCCAGAGGCGAAGAGATGGCACTGTCGTCTGAAAAAACGACTTCAACTGCCTGAATCTCTACCGAGCTCGATGAGATATTACAGAGAGCGCTTTGGAATGCATCTTGGAAGATCTGAGAGCTTACTCCATCACACATAGAGTGGTGATACACGAAAGAGGCCACAAACCCATCCTTTGAGCGATAGTCTTGAAGAATGATCAGCCGCCACACCGGCAGTGTGCCATATCCAGTCTTGAAACTGGTGTTGTGTTGATTCTCAAGTAGCGAATCAAGCTCGTTATCAGACTAGGAATCAGAAGACAACGGGTAAGATCGTTCAACAAAAGACACAACCTGCCTCAAGTCGATTGACGCAAGGCGACCCCAGTGAGACTGCTCAGTATCTGGAACAACAGGGACAGCAAAGAGGATGGGATGCTGATGGAGGACTTGTGATAGAGCCGCGAGGACTAGAGGCTCAAGACCAAAATTGGGCAAGGGTTTTGAGGCTCTGTAGTGAGCCGAAAAAGCGCAATTGGTGAAGAATTCTATGTGATGCGCAGCAGCCGTGATTTCTTCAAGTTTGCCTGTCAAGGTGATCAGTGGATTTGTGAGTAGCTAACAACTAAGACGAAAGTTACCCAGAGGGCGAATTTTTGGCAGCTGGTATTCGGCCATTTTCGCTTCACTGTTCTTTAAATAGCTTGATACGAATGTTCTACTACATAACAATTATACGGTCTTATATGGCTTACAGTGACATACATATCGATGGTTCAGTACAGCTACAGACATCGCAATATTCAGCCTCAGGCTCTCGTCCCTGGCGATGGATGACATGTAGTGTTTCCTCAAGAACACCAAGAGGCTCATCTCACCGACACCATCTTCTGTAAAGTACATTCCGTCATCACAGTGCCCGAGATTCAACTCACGTCAGCCAGAAATGAGTGCCGAGCATTGGCAGAAATGGGTGTGTCTGCTTATATATGCCCTGCCATGTGCGACCACACTAAGTAAGATAGGACGCGACATCTGCATGGAAACGGGATGAACTCTCTCGTATCCAGATTTTCTATGATTGTCGAATCGGCTTCAGCCTCACTCAGCCCTGTGACAGGTGGGGGGCCATTATTGGTGGTGTTAGAGTCAACAAAATGGCCTCAAAAGCTCTCATCGGTGACTGTGACAACTTGAACGACCTACCTATTCTGGAAATGTCGGCGATCCATGGAGATGATAGGAACTTTGTGAATCACAGATACCGCTTTGCCTATCTTACTAAGACCTCGTTCTCTCTCTCAGAGTATACATATGACATGTGATAGGAATATTCAATATCTTCACTTTGCTAAGGATCAAACAGGTCAGAATTGTCTTGAACCTCGACAGTTCAGCACCTTTTACCTCAGAACTTCACAATCTCAACCATAAACTACCCGCACCCCTACTCGCAAGCCGCAACGCTTGACAAGAGGATCCAAATTCCCCGGCCATGCTATGATGCTGCTCTCGCCCCGATGCTTGACTATGCTTCATTGCCTGAAGAATTCAGACTTGACTTGATGCGTGGTGTAGCAGCGGGTGAACAAGAATGCCCCCATGGTTCACATACCTTCAATGCAGAGAGCGTGCTCAGAGACCAGCCTCACTTGACTCATGCTGAACATGTCATCGCTGGTCCTGACAACAACGACGTCATTCTTTCCGTTTTCACACCAAAAGAAACATCCAAGTCACCTCGCCCAGCCTTGTACCACATACATGAGGGATGGTCAGCGGCGACAGATTCACTGCCTTGACTCAAGTGATCGACCTTCTAGCGGGTATCGATTGCGTTGTTGTTTCTGTTGAGCATCGCCTTGCGCCTGAAACTCGTGCACCTGGCCCAGCTGAAGACTGTTATGCTGTCCTTGTATGGGTTTTTGAAAATGCAGCAAGTCTAGGGATTGACCCTGCAGCAATCGCAGTGTTCGGCGTCTCTGGTGGCGGCGCTCTAGCTGCTGCCACATGTCTCATGGCCCGAGACAGAAAATCCCCAGCCGTGCCCATCAAGGCTCAGATGCTATACTCACCTTTGCTTGATGACCGCTGTGAAAGTCTGGCGGACCAACAATTTGAGTACGGCAATCCTGCTCCAACACCCTGGCTTCGTGCAACCTGGGATCATATTCTTGGAGATGAACGCGGATCTGAGAATGTCACTCCCTACCAAGCTCCCGCCAGAGAGACAGATCTTTCGAACCTCCCCCCAGCTTACATTGACGCGGGAGAATGCGAAGTCTTCCGAGATATTGCTGTTACCTACGCTACGAACATGTGGCGTTGCGGATCTACATGCGAATTACACATCTGGCCTGGAGCCTTCCATGGGTTCGACATGATGGATGATCCGCAGATACCATTGATCAATATTGCCAACAAAGCAAAGGCGAATTGGTTCAAGAGGGTCTTGACGACTGAGACCAAGCCAATGCCTGCCACAATTGCCCAGGCATGCTGAGTTGCAGACAATGAAAGATGGCATGCTATTAGGCACCGAAAAGTTGGCCTCTAAGCCTTTTTAGGGTATAAAAATATACAGCCTAAGAAGTCTTGTCTAAGTAGCATAAACCGGCCCATCAATTTCGTCTCTTATGTTCCTGGCGGCCAATTTCTCTGACCCTGAGCACATGGTATGGTTATTTTGACTTTTTATTATTCAAAAGAAAAACTGTCTCTCCTCATAGATCGAGCTTCAAATGACATTCTGCATCATGATTCTATAACTGTGCTTTGCGACTAGTAACAAATGTGAATAGAGTAGAAAGTGACGATTGACCATGATCTCTCTTGTTGAAATGTCAACTAGCTTACAAAAACCGTTCTGGGTGTTCTATAAGCACCTAATTATGATGCTCGTAGATGTGAAGCTCAAATGCCCCAGTACAGCAAACTCTCTGTATATAAATCAAGCCACACGTCCCTTAGTCTGCTTAATGCCTTTGATGTTGATTTTCTTCCACATAGCAGTTCCGATGAAACCAAGAGCAAAGACCACCGTACCAGCAATGAACAAAAGCCTGTGAGCGTCTCCATAGGCATGCTGAATCGCCAGTCGAGTGGGCGAGCCAACTGGGAAAGAAAGTTGGGTAACAATATCCGCGGCGATGATTGGAAGATTTGGAAGATCCTCTGCTGGTAGATACTCTGCCAGCTTTCTTGGAATGATGTCTTGCCAAATTGCCGAGGAAACTGTCAAACCAACCGCCTGTCCAATGCTTCCAAACATTGATACCAGAGCAATGGCGATGGCAAAGTATTGTTGTTCACTGACAGCAGCAAGGATAGCAATCTCGGCGGTGATCATGATAGAGCCACTTCCAGCTGCAATGATCAATTGGGCCAAAATGATATAACCAACACTCTGGTCTGGCTGACGAAAGTAGACCATAAGACCTGTTCCGAGTGTAACAAGAGGAAGCGCGGCGTACATGGTGGTAGCTTTGAAGTTTCCGGTGTACGATAGAAGCCATCCGATAAAGATGGCAAACAAGCAGCTGGCGACTGTGTATGCAGACACTATGTAACTTGCATTGGTAATGCTCAAGTCGTTCACAACTTGAAGTATTGAGGTGAAGTATAGAGCCCAGCACCCATAGCTGAAGAACATGGTGAACGAAAGAATGCAAGCTCCGGTGACAGTGCGGTCAAGAAGGAATCGCCAAGGGATGAACGAAAGCTTGGCAAAGAACCTCTCCCAGATACCGAAGACGACGAGTAGAAGGATGCCGACGACGAAGAAGCAGATGATCATGGGGGACCCAAAGCCCTTTGCTTGCATCGTATAGAGGTTGAAAGGTAGGAGGAAGAAGGCTACTCCGGCTGAGAGGCTGAGGAGACCAATCAAATCAAATTCTCGGACATAGTACCGGGTTGCGTTGAGGAGCGAGCCCTTGGACTCTCTGTTTGGAATAAGCCCTTGCTTGTTGGCTCTATGATAGTGAAACATGAACAGGCCGAACAAGGGAATAGTGACCACTGGTACAAGAATACTCTCCATGCCAAATGCCCATCTCCAGCCAGGACCATCCAAAAATGCATTGGCAATGGGACCACCAAGCCAGGCGGTAATAATGTTAGCGGAGGCACAAATGGACTGGATAAGCCCTCTGTTTCGGAGAGAAGTAGTGTCGGCGATGAAAACACTAAGGCTGTAGCCAACACCATTTATTCCAACAGTATAGAAGACTTGGGATGCAGCATAGGCCTCGACGTTATTGCAAGCGGCCGACATTATAAGTCCGATCGTAGCAAGGGTAGCGCAGAATATGAAGCCCTGAGGACGACCGAAGATGTCAAGAGTCTTTGCAATACTCAGGTTGGTGACTCCTCCTATGACGGAACTTATGACGCTGGTCGTGGGCGTAAGGGAGTGCATGGCGAAATCGGAAGTGACATATGGAAGTAAAGCACCGCTGATTCCTCCCACCAGTCCCTGTACGAAGTAAACAAGCCATATTAAAACAAAGGCGACGAGAAGGGAAGTCTTGGACCACACGAGAGTCACGGCCTCGATGTCCTGGACTCCCTGTTGGAAGTCGGCGTCAACGGCACCATCGCTGGAAGAGCCTTCGGTATCTCTGTCTGGATTGTCACGGTAAGCCTCGTGTACCCGATGGAGAACTTTGGTGTCAGAATCGACCGGGTTTGGGAGGGACATGGTGATTACTGCAATATTGGTAGATGCATGAAGAACTACAGAAGGATTCGCAATGATGTGAAAGATGGTTATTTTAAAGAACAGCACTCTGTTCCCTTCTGATAGGTACCAGCCTGATAGAAGAAATTGCTTGTTGGCTACACTGATCCACAGCCCCTTTGATTTGAGGGTATAACATGAGCTGTACCGTAGTCTTACGTTGATTCAATAAGAGTAGGCCAACCAATAAACATTTTGCTCAAATTCTCTCATCATCACAAACTGTCAACCAGTCTAACTGGGGTTCCAGGCGATAATTCTAGATCCATTCCGTTCATCCTAGACGCACAGTCTAGAATGCCTGTCGCCAAGGCGTTGGTTAGATACCGACTTGGTATTGTTTTGAGGTTGAAAATTAACTTGCTCAGTGCCATGTTTTCACATGCTGCTCGTGTTCGAGCACATTGTTAGTGGAGGGTTTATTTTAGCGAATCTGTAGCTGACAAAAAGATACCCCTGGGCTCTTTTGTTTGCGAGCCGTTCCGCTCCAACAACTAAACCAAGTATAGGCAAGTCTTGCGCTTATGCATGTACTTTACTGTATTGCTCTCCCTGTGAGCACATTATCGTTGGCTGCGATCCTACGAGTGGCAGGTATCTGACATACAGGCTGACAGGGGTGAAGGATTGTGAGCGTGTTTCTCTATAGCCTCGGACTTGGCTTCCTCCTCTCGCTTCCTTCACAGTAATCAGTTCTACGAAAGGAATGTGGCTAGGCTAAGTTTAGGGACTAAAGGAAGTTATGAAGCGAGTTTAAGTAAATTTATGAATACCCTTTAGTAATTTTAGACGTGTTGGAAGGCAAGCTATTCTTACGTTCGTTGATTTTTCCATCCATGGATCGCTAATTCAGGCGTGATACAGTGGTACAGGACGTCTTACAGTGGAAGTACGCCCTAAAAGATTTTATTCTATAGTCACAGCAATGGAGACAAAATGCAGTGAAACCAAAGTGAATTGTCATATTTTCACATAGACAAATAGAAAAGAACTACCTCCCTCCTTGCAAATAACTTATCACAACGTCCAAATCATACCTCTTTGTAATCCAACAGTGTCGCGTACTTGGTGAATTCCGCATCGCTCATAAGCATCTTCAACTCTTCAGGCAACGTACCCATGACCAATTCCACGCCACCATCCTTTCTCATTGGAGATATCACCAAGAACCTAAACCGCCTGTGGCCACGTTCGATCTGGGGACGCATCGCCTCGGGACTACCGCCAGCAAAGAACAAGTCACCAAATGAGATATCGCTGGTCTGGAATAGCATCATGTTGGAGATCATGGCATGCATATGCTCAAGACCCATGTTTGCCGTCGCAGGCTTGCTGTAGTCTGTCATCGACCGCAGAAGAGTAAACGTGTCATGGACGAGAGAAGGAGTGATACGAGCGGCTGCTTCTCTAATGAGACCTGCAATCTGTGCGACACTCGTGTCAGACGAACAGAGCGTTTCGATTGGCATGCTTGGTCGGTTCATTATGAGTAAGCTGCCCATGTACGAAGATGGCAATTGAGACGAGAAGTAGGGCCTTCCGTCAATTGGCATTTCCAAGATCGACATCTCATCGGCCTTGAATTCATGGTTGCGATGCTCTTTGGCCACTCTGTAGCGAGATCGTATAGAAGCACGCCAAAAGAATGCTTGCACAACATCGATGATTGATGTGGATCGATTCCTTGCCACGGTATCCGATAAGGCCTCCTGCTTGAGATTGTGAATACTCTCGCCAGAAAGTAGGAAGACAGTCGTGTTTAGCGATCGTTCGCTGGGGGCGGCCGGCCATACAGGGCTACCTGCGAATATGGGCGCTGGGGGGAGAACACTCTTTGTTACGCCATTCTGTCGAGCAGCATCTCCCTCTCCGGTTTGGAGGCCATTTTCAAGTCTTGTCTCTGCGATTTTCTCTGGGAACGGCAGATAGCCCCATGTGCCCGGGTCTACTTCATGAACGGGCTTCGCATATCCTGCTTGTTCCCAGATGATCTCCGGAAGATCATGATTGAAGCTTTCGGGGTCAAACCAATCGCAAGTTGCTGTATGGTCCCCGTCGAGATATCTGCAGCACTCAGCCCAGACTCTCAGAGCCATCATGACACCCACAGCATCAAGACAAGTGTGGATGAAGTTAGTTGCCAGGATGCACCCGCCCTCAACGAAATTGGCTTGAGCAAACAAGATATCAGCTGGCATCGTGGGAAATGGATGGCAGTCTAGGACGAGCTCATCGTTAAACAAAGACGGCGAGAACCCAGCTTCGCGCATCTTCTGGAATGACGGGAGAACCTGAGACAAATCCTTGTAGATGAGCTGCCTGGGCTTTTCAGGCTCAGTGAGTGGTTCGGGAGGAATTGTGATACGATATTCTCCCTTTTTATAGCCAAATTCGTGTTCTGAAGCCAGCATCATCTTGCCGTCAAGCTCTGGAATAATCGCAAAAGCCTTCGCCAATCCCCTCTGCAATTTGACAAACGCCTCCTCAAAGCTGACACCCGGACGAAGAGCAAAGTAAAAGTTGAGACCCATGTAGTGATTGGGATTCACAGCATCAAATGGATTCATCTTGGACCCGATCCGCCGCTTACGTTCAGCGATGAGGTTTCCAATATTGGTCGAACGTGTATCAAGAGGAATGTCTGAACCTTTGCCATTAGGTATTTCAGGCACAGCAGTCTTCTTCACTTTCTCTTGCTCTAGAATTCTTGCGAGCTGCGAGGAAAACTCGTCCAAAGTTGGATAAGCGTACAGGTGCCGGGGAGCAAGTTGCTCTTCTAGGCCTGTCACAGCGCGAATGATTCTGATGACCCGAACGACGAGAAGAGAATCTAGCCCGAGATCAAACACATCCTCATCGGGAGAAAAGCCCTCGACTTCAGGCAGCACTGACCGCATGATCTGGAGAACAGAGTCTAGAAGAGTCTCGTCCGAAGTTGTGTTAATGGAGAATTGGTCAAAATCCTCGTCCTCAACTTCCTCGTTTCTCGAGTTATAGAATCGTTCGATGAAATCGGAATAGAGTTCCACTGTCGCACGACGCTTGATAGTTCTCTTGTCTGTGCGTATGAAGGGTTTATCGGCCTCCGCAAAAGCGATGTATTCCCTCTGAATGCGTGTCTTTTGGAACGTAGAGTTGTTCGCCCTCTCAACCATTGCCCAGATACTGTCAAAGAGCTCGTTATTTCTCTGAGAGGGATCCTTGAGCTCGATAAGTAATCCAGCTTGAGACTTTCCTGACCCAAGCAATAGACAACCGTCAATTTCGGGATGTGTAGTGATCAATGCTTCTGTGTCTAGAGGCGAGATCTTGTAGCCATTGGATAAGACGACAACGTCATCACTTCGCCCTGTAAAAGACCAAAGATTGGGATTGGTCGGATGCCTGATATATAAGTCTTTGAGGTTGACAGATTCAAGACTAGGAAATGTGTGGAAAATGCCTTGGAAGAGTTCCCAATGCTCATTCCTGTGTACCCAATGTTCAAAGATACCCGGTTGAACTTCTTTGAAGTCGAATCCTGAGTAGGGATGAAAGGCAAACCAATGCCAGTCTTCTCTAGGTACCCACAGGTTACCGATGAAAAGACCTTCGGTTGTGCCAGTCAAGTTGAGGACCCTGACCACTTTGTTGACTTCAGACACGATGAGTGGACTGACGGGTCCTGGTTAAATAGTTAGTGACAGGATTGGTATTCTATTGGGTAGCAGAAAAATTGACCGCCCCAAATCTTAGGATACAAAAATAAGTAGTCTAAGAACTATAGTCTAAGGAGCATAAAGAAGCCTACTAATTTCGTCTCTTATGCTCCTGGCGGTCAATCATTCTGCTACAGCATTGTACTTACCACCTGAGGCGCAAATGAATTTTGAAGGCTTGAACTTGGCCAACACATCAGGGTGTTCGCCCAGCTCGTCTGCAAGTGACGGCACCATGCTCCATATATCGACCTTGGCATGATCGGCAAGCAACTCGAGCAATCCGAGATTAGGCAAAACACCTGCAGGTCCGAGAATGCAGTGTAGACTGCATAGTGCGGGTATGACAATGTCCATTAGTACACCGGCGCCCTATAAGAAGGTCACTGGCAGTCCTATGACGCATTTAAACGTGTATTGGGGAGACTTACATGACTCATCGGGAAAGAAGAGTATATCCTATCTCCGGGATTCCAGTTGTCCATCCATGGAGCTAGTCCGTCATCGCCTTCAGTAGGTGGAAGCAAACGAACAGCATCCATTGTTCCGATCAGTGCATGAGTCCAAAGGATAGGTTTCGGTACACCGGTAGTGCCCGATGTGTGAAGAATACAGAATGGCTCATTCTTGGAGGTTTCGAATGCTTTTTCAAAGGGGAAGGGCTCCACAGACTCACCATCAAAAAGATCATCTATGCTTGGGAGCTCAAGAATCTTCAAATACTTTTCTTGTAGAATACCTTCTAAAAGAGGAAGCATTGGCTGCTCTTTTGGCTTGACCCAGATGCCGCAGTCTGCAGCATTAAGTACGGCTAGGGCACCAGTGACATTGTTCTTAGATGAAAGAAACAGAGCCTGAACAGTCAGAATTATTACTTGGGGTTTGAGTAATTCTTTGTACTCACTGCACAACCAGCCTTGACGGCGCCATAGGTCAATAGAACATGACGTATATCGTCTTTTAAATGTCAGTAAGCGTCCAATTGCTGCCCTTTTAGACTTACGAGGTCCGATATAGCCCAAAGCTTGGATCTTTGAGGACATAATCGTATCTCCATTGGAGGCTCCATTCGTTGAATGAAGCTGACTTCGAATCCACCAAGCCGTCTTATCGACAGCCTTTGTGAACTCACGCGCAGTTATTTCTCGAAAGCTTGGTTGGTCATTGGGGAAAGAGGCAATGGAATAAATGACACGTTCTGGATCAGCCAACGCAAGACGATCAAGAATCTGGGGGATGAGTCTCCTCCCAAACTTCGTGTTACCATTGACCGTCATTCTGAGAAAGAAGAAACACTTCGTAGAAGGATGTTTAAAATCTTGGCGTGCAGTCACTCGAGGTCGACCCACCGTGGACTATAAGGTTGACGAACGTTTTATATGGTGCCTTGTCCCTGAGCTTGTGATCCACCTGACCCCTGAAAACTGCTCATTGAATCTACATATCGAGCTGGTTATCCCTTACTACCTATTTTTGAGACTAGTTCCTCACCGTTGTCCGCCTTTGTGGCGATTGGATGAGGCTTAGACTTTGTGACAGAAGGCGTTCTTTGTCATCAGGGTACCAGAAGAGTTGGCCGCCAGAAGCACAAGAGACGAAATTAATAGATCAGTTCATATTACTTAGATTATAGTCCTTATGCTATTTATTTCTGCACCCTAGGACTGAGGGGGTTAACTTTTCTACTACCCACTAGTTTACTCAACAGCAAGATTCTGATGCGTATTCAAGCATCTTCTAAGCATCCCACACACCATATTACTCTGTATAACCATAAGCCGACATTTTCTTTCGCATTCGATCACAACGGTACTGTCAGTTTTGACGTCTGCACGTTTGCTGACAAGACTTGTCCTGGATGTTCATCCGGCTTCCGGAGTGGAGGATCTCAGGTAGGGTGTGATTCGGTCAAATTCCCATCCATCCACCAAGAGCCTTGTACAACCTCAGATTATGCTGGTGGTCTAAAAAGATTGGCATATAGGCCATGCAGTGCGGCTGATGGACCAGGGTGCTACAGTGCTTAATGAGACATCAGCCTTACTGTATGACCAAATACATAATTTGGAATGCTTTTCAATGTCTTACCAATGAACAATTGCGTAACCACACAGCACCAGGAGCGGTGGAATACTTCAAGACAAGAGAATGAAAAGGCTTTGTGATTCACAAATCTGACCTGTTGTAACGCCCGATTTGTCAACCCTCACTAAATGTAGACCGACCTCTTGTTGGGGGGCATATAGATATGCCGAGGGAGGTAAGAGAAAACTTGGGTGCTGAGCTCAGAAGATGAGGGAAAATGCCCCTGACATCAAGCTAAGCTTATATGGCTAGAATCTGCGAAATCGTTCGGTTCCCCTTTGACATGGGTTCAAACCAAACTACTCCACTATTTGGCATGGCTACAAGGTCTGGGTCTATTGAAATTACAAGAGAAACTGCCTCAATATCGCTCACATAGGACCTTCTTGTTCTGGATAAATCACATAATGTGAAGTCGGCTTGGATCGCATCCTGAAGGATGAAAATGCTTGGACTTGTGCAACATCTATTGTGGCAGAGGGGCTGGCCACTCAAGCCTTAGGGTACAAGAATAAACAGCCTAAGAAGTGTAGTCTAAGTAACATAAAATGACCTAACAATTCCGTCCCTTATGCATCCAGTCGGCAAATGTCTGATACCCCGAGGGGCGCGATTGTTCAGCAGACTGAGTTTGAGCATGTTGCATATGCACGCGGTGAGCAGGTTACGCAACGGTCTTGGCCCTATCTCTAAGCCGAGATGTAACAACGGGAGTCAGAGTTGGATGGAAGTAATCGGCTACCGGAAGAATGTCCTATTGTGTCATCTGGAGTTTCTGACTCCTCGCGGCACACTTACTTCCAAGTATTTTCAGCAACTTCCCCATCTATCGACTGCTACAGGTTGATCTACCATTATTTTATCACTTCAAGTTGTGTCATCGGTGACTATTTCAATATTCCTTAGCTAAGATTATTTCATCATTTGAGGCCTAGGCAACTCTGACAGAATCACCCGGGCTGTAACGGAGCTGGAGACAAGGCACGTTGTTCGACAAGCCAGGCTGAGTATTTGGCATCGCCCGAATATCAAAGACTCGAATCGACTATTTCAATCGTTCTCCAACGGCTTCTCATTTAACTTCGAGAATCTCCAACTCCACTACGAACAAAAACACCCATTCAATTTCCCTGACAATCCCACACAGACAGCTGCTGTGTTACATACCTGCAGTGATCTTTACCCTTAACCCATTATCCCAATTTCTTTGCAGATCGTCCCGCTTTACCCTCCTTCCCTGTCCCAATACAGAAAGAATGGCTGTACCTTCGAAGACAGTTCAAGACAATTCTGTTGTCGAGAGTCATGACTCGTCCGGAACAGAAACTCTCCCTGCCGATGGCTTTGTCCCTGAGCAGACCGAGGTGGAGGCTCATGTCTCTGAAACATCGTCGAAGATCTTGGATATCATCTTTGATTATGCACTGAACAAGTTCAATGACAGCAAGGAGAGACTTGAGTCCGGAAGGCCCAAGTTCTTGGCTGTCATAAACAAATTCGTTGTTGCTGGCACCCAGGTTAACATGTGTCTTCCCGCCTTCCCTTTTAAATCGGCCAACAAGGCTTACAAGGTTTTTGGCATTCTGCCTGACAAGGCCGAAGAGCTTTCTCTTGGTCGTCTCAACACCATGTGTGTCCGCATCAGCGAGATCTATCCACCAGGAGCGCAATGTATTATCATTTCCGACGGCATTGTCTACAACGGTATGTTCTTCTAATGGCATAATCGTTTACGATAGTCCTAACATCCCCAAGATCTGTTGAGTATTTCGGACCGCGACACGTGGGCATACGGACAGGAATTGCGAAAGCTCGCTTCAGCCAAGGAATTCAAGCACATTGGATTCTCTAGAATCAAGGACTTGATTGACTTTCCTATGCCACAAGACATAAGAGAAATTGCGTACGTCGCAAACGCTACCAACTTCCGTCGAGCCTTTCTAAATCGCTTCGGAAAAGACGATATCGACATTGACAAGGAAATCAAGAACAACCCTGATACCATGATGACATACCTTGGTTACCGTCGATTTCTGGAGTCCGATCTCAAGCACATATTTCCTGTTGGCGTTGGTCGAACAGCCAATGACTACAGGAGAGATGTCCGATTCCTTGCTAAGCAGATGCTCATTCGAGGATATGTAAGTGTAAAAACATAAGGACTATTCGATTATCAAGTATTTTGTCTAACCTTCGGACTTTAAGGCTTTTGCAGGCGCTGTCAAGAATGGCTTTCCCAACCATTTGCGACTCTCCATCCACCATTCCACTGGGCAATATAAAATTTCTATGAGTCTCTTGGACACCAGGACGGGTTTCACAACCCCTTGGCATTGCTGTGTTGCTCGGATGGCCAACGGTGAATGGACCAGTGCTCCAATGGGAGATTACTTGAAAGACCCCAATATGAAGGTCGTACATGAGAATGGCCGTCCTAGCTATTTCCAAGAAACAATCAACGAGACCAGTACCGAAGAGGTTTCAGCTGCCCAGCCTGTCAGGATGACTCAACCCAAGGTTCAAGATGAGCCACAAGACACGAAGCTTACAATTTTATCACTTTTCACCGGTGAGGAAGAAGAGCGCCTCACAGTTCTCGCCAAGTCTATCTCCTCCGAGTTGAAACAGCAAGATAGAAAGTCCATTAACCCATTTTATGGCTCTGAGAATCCAGCCCTTGATCCACACTCGAGCGAGTTTGACATTGCGGCCTGGCTGCAAGCTGTCATGAGTATTACAACTCGAGACCCTGAAAAGTACCCTCGCGGTGTTGCTGGTGTGGCTTACAAGGATCTTTCTGCTCATGGAGTTGGCGAGGCTACAGACTACCAAAAGACATTTGGCAACTATCCTTTCGAGCTTGTCAAGTTTGCAAAGAAGCTCATGAGTCAGGGTGAATCAGCCAAGATTCAAATCCTGAGGGATTTTGACGGGTTGATCAGGAGCGGAGAGATGCTTTTGGTCCTTGGACGACCGGGAAGGTAAAAAGTAGAGGACTAATTAATGGTTATCAAGAATGCTGATTTGTCGCCTAGTGGCTGCTCAACATTCCTAAAGACCATTTCTGGAGAAACTAGTGGTTTCAAGATTGGGGAGGAGTCCTACCTGAACTATCAAGGCATTCCAAAAGAGAGTATACACAAGGACTTCAGAGGGGAATGTATCTATCAAGCAGAAACTGATGCTCATTTCCCTCAGTTGACCGTAGGGCAAACACTTGATTGTGCTGGTCGGGCAAGGGTATGATTACGAGTGGTATTTGTAGATTGTCACTGATGGTTTGAAAGGCTCCTCGTACGCTCATAGACGGTATAACACGCAAGGTATCCAATTTTATTATTATCCTTTTAGCAATATTCCTTGTAGCAGAAGCTGACGCTGTTGGCTTTCTTAGACATACGTGACGCATCTTCGTGATGTTGTGATGGCGGCTTTCGGCCTGTCTCACACTGTGAACACAATTACAAGTGAACTCATTTGAGTTTGCAATCCAACTCCAACTAACATTTTCCAAGGTGGGCAACGACTTCGTTCGCGGAGTATCCGGAGGTGAGCGTAAGCGTGTTAGTATCGCTGAAGCGTAGGTTATCTCCCAAGATACTGTACCCCTCATATTTACCTCTATGACAGAGCAATCGGAGGTAGTGCCTTGCAGTGCTGGGTCAACAGCACTCAAGGTCTCGATAGTGCGACCGCTCTCGAATTTGTACGCACATTGAGAACCTCGACCAAGTTCACTGGAGCAACCGCTCTTGTCAGTGTTTACCAGGCCTCGCAGTCCATATACGATGTATATATCACCTTTCCCAACGGGTATGTCTCCTACTAATCTGAATAGGTATTTTACAAGGTTACGCTACTCTACGAGGGTCTTCAAATCTATTTTGGCAACATTCACCCAGCGAAGCAATTTTTCATCGACATGGGCTTCGAATGTGCCCCAAGACAGGTAACCGCTGACTTTCTCACATCTCTCACTAACCCACTGGAGCGGAGGATTCGTCCTGGGTTCCAAGGTAAGACACCTTCCAGTCCAGACGGGTTCGCAGCAGCATGGAAGCAGAGCAAGGATCGGGCTCTTCTGTTAAAGGATATCGATGAATTCAACCGAGAGTATCCTATCGGAGGCCCATCTCTGGACAGCTTCAAACACTTTCGCAAGACTATCAAGGCAACTTCGCAGTAAGTTTTAGTCCTCTCCTAAAATTTATGTATCTTGGATGCCTCTCTGTGAATTTAGTGTCAAGCGAAGGATGATGGAAACCGAATTCAACTTATTGACAACTTTCCACCAGGCGTGCCAAGTCTCCCTACAATCTCTCCATTCCGCAGCAAGTCGCACTCTGCATCAGACGAGGATTTCAGTCCCTGAGATCCAATGTCACCATGGTCATCGTTGGATCTCTCTTCAACGCAATAATGGCCCTCATCGTTGGTAAGATGCTACGAATAAAATGATATGCCATTGTTAGCTAGTAACTACCATCCAGGTAGCATCTTCTACGATCTACCTAATACTACCGACGCACTGTACAGTCGAGGAGCACTTCTGTTCTTAGCGGCTAATTCTCATGATACCCTGAGTAGGAACTAAAATGATGATGCTGATGAGATTCCAGGGCATCACAGGTGCTGGCAAGACTACGTTACTCGATGTACTGGCTAATCGCACCAGTGTTGGCATTGTCGGTGGGGATTTTCTTGTCAATGGTCAGCCAAGGAATACAGGATTCCAACGTAAGACCTGATACGTCCAACAACAAGATCTCCACCTGTCAACCACGACAGTCAGGGAAGCTTTGACATTCAGTGCTCTTCTTCGGCAGCCGCGGGCGCTTCCCGTGAAGACAAGTTACAGTATGTGGATCATGTTATCGACACTCTTGAGATGAGGTCATATGCCGATGCCATCGTCGGCGTACCTGGTGAAGGTAGATATCAGAGCAACTCACAAGGGCTAACTTTCATGCTGATGATCTGTCTACAGGCCTCAACATCGAACAGAGGAAGCGTCTGACTATTGGTGTCGAGCTCGCTGCTAACCCTGCTTTACTGCTATTTCTGGATGAACCCACGTCAGGTAAGCATTTTGGGATTCTATGGAAGTATGGTATTAAAAAACCTCAGGCCTCGACAGTCAGACGGCTTGGTCAATTTGTCAACTCCTTCGCAGACTGGCAGATGCCGGGCAGGCTATTCTCTGCACTATCCACCAACCATCTGCTCATCTCTTCCAAGTCTTTGACCGCCTGCTATTCCCTGCGATGGGAGGTAAAACAATTTACTTCGGCGACATTGGTCCTTCTTCAAAAGCAATGACAAGCTACTTTGAGCGTAACGGGGCTCGTCCATGTGGGCCTGATGAGAACCCAGCAGAGTGGATGCTGGGGATTACCGGGTCTCTCAGTGAACAAGACTGGCCTGTCATCTGGAATGACTCCCCAGAACGCAAAGCAGTCAAAGCAGAGCTCGCGATGAAGAAGTTGGAGCTCTCTCGGCGGACGATTACTATCACAAACCCAAGTGACATCGATGCAATAAGCCCATTCGCAGCATCCTTCACAACTCAACTTCATGTTGTTGTGAAACGGGTATTCCAGCAATATTGGCGCACTCCTTCATACCTCTACTCCAAGGTTGCACTTTGTCTATCAAGTGTGAGTGAGAGTTTTACAGCATTTTAGAGCATTCTTTAACCTCGAACCAGGCCCTCTTCATCGGATTTTCATTTTGGCAATTGTCCAACTCTCTTCATGGGCTACAGAATCAGATGTATGCTATTTTCATGCTGCTTGTCATTTTTATCAATGTCTGCTCCCAGATTATGCCACATTATGATGCTCAGCGGGAACTTTACCAGTCTCGGGAAAGTCCATCCAAGACGTATTCGTGGCAGGTATTTGTACTGTCCAATTTACTAGTTGAGATTCCTTGGAACTCTCTATCGGCGCTTCTCATTTTTGTATCCTGGTGCTACCCCATTGGGCTTCGCCACAATGCTATAGAGGCAAATGAGGGCCCAGAGAGAGAGGCTCTCATGTTTTTGTTCATTCTCGCTTTTATGAATTTTGCTGGAACGTTTACAAACATGGTTTTGTCTGCTGTCGGTTCCGCTGAAGCTGCTGGTAACTTGACTAACCTATTACATTCTTTATCTTTGATCTTCTGCAGGTATGTTCATCAACTTGTCCTATACAGTCACTTGCTAACACTGCGTCAGAGTTCTCGTGTCCCCCGACGCTATGCCTGGATTCTGGATCTTCATGTACAGGGCGTCACCTATTTCTTCTCTGGCGTTCTATCTGCTGGTCTCGGCAACTCACAAATCTCTTGCTCGACGGAAGAGTATTTGCGTTTCTCGCCGCCACCTTCTATGAACTGTTCGACTTATCTGGAACCTTACATCGATGCTTTTGACGGCTACCTTACATCAGAAAGTATGGGATCAACAGCCGAATGTGTTTTCTGCAGTGGTAACGACACCAATGTTTTCCTTGAAACGGTGAGTGCAAACTTTGACGACCGTTGCAGGGATTTTGGTATTTTCTGGGTGTACATCATCTTCAACATGGCGGCAGCACCTATGTTATTTTGGCTCACCAAGGTGCCGAAAGACAAGGTTAGCACGGGGAGTAAAGGAAAGGACTCAGAAGTGAAGTGTGACAATGGGAGTGCAGAATGAGAAGTTTTATCTTAGTAGATACTAGAATATTGGAAATGAGATACTCGTCTACTTATGTGAGACTATTCAGGATAGTTATAGGCTTTTAGGTTTAGTGCTGACAAATCTTGTAAACAAATATCGCTACCCCTCACTCTGTCATGCTGTGAATCACCCATCTCTCAGTAAAATAACCTGCCTCAGGTTTGGTCATTCTCTCTCACTAAAATATCCTACTTCAATTTTGACCAATTAACAACATCATGTCTCCTCCCACGAAATACGCTGTCGCATTATTCCCCGGGTTTCAAGCACTAGACGTGTTTGGACCACTCGATGTCTTGAACTTCACATCCAAACTGCAACCTATGGAACTGTCGCTTCTTCACACTTCGCTTGATCCTGTGTCAACATTTGTGGAGGGCGGGCCTGCTTGCATCGGACAGAGCGTTGTACCCACGCACACGTACGAGACAGCACCAGACGACATAGAGATCCTGCTTGTTCCAGGAGGCTTTGGTGCCAGGAATCCAGACAATGTAAAGAGAGTTCGGGAGTTTGTCAAGGAGAGATATCCCAAGCTCAAGTACCTCTTGACAGTCTGCACAGGAAGTGCGATTGTGGCGCAGACAGGGATTTTGGACGGCAGAGAAGCCACCAGTAACAAGAGATCCTTTGATTGGGTGAGTAGTGTGTACCAATTCCAAGTCTCTCACTAACCGATGGCAGGTATTGACTCAGGGGCCTAATGTGAAATGGGCGCGAAATGCCAGGTGGGTGGTTGACGGCAACATCTGGACATCTTCTGGCATCTCAGCCGGCATTGACATGACCTATGCATTCATCGCTGAACAATATGGACAAGAGATCGCAGATGACACGGCCAAGGGGTCTGAATATGTACGAAACACTGATCCTAATGCTGATCCGTTTGCGGTTTAACGCGCAGCTTGGCATCATCTTTTCGACGCGGAGAGTTATTTAACCCAAGGGAAAGGTGCCGAATTCCCAAGCTTTAGGTAATTTAGGTTACGAGTTTTAGTGAATCATGAAACTCTATATTAAGGTCATGTCATTTTCTTACGCTAAGAAGAGGTGTGTAAGAAATGACTGAGCTTCTACTCAGCAATTCGATTGTATCCTTGCGTAACTCGTATATAGTATCAACTAAAATCGACCATCATACCATCGTCCAATGAACGCCACCATCGCTTCGTGCTATTACCACCCATGTACTACAACTAATCACTCTTGGCCTTGTCCACAGCCCAGCGTCCAGTGAACTGTCGAATCTTCTTACCCCAGATAAAGATAAAGATACCAATGACACCAAATGCACCAGTCAAACCACCAAAGACGGCAAATGCACCATCATAGCCGTTTCTGTCAATGAAAGGAGAGATACCGTAGGAGACGCCAAATGACATGATGCCGCGCATGGCACAAATGATAACCAGAAGAGGGCCAGCACGCTGAGGATAACTATCCAGAAGATAAGTGATAGCAACGATATTAGCTCCGACAAAAGCGAAGTAATAAGCTAATAAGTATGTTAGTGATCAGTTAGATAGTAATGTTGTCCAGTACACTTACCAGCCACTGCCCAGACAAAAACAAACCAATGGTAGTTCTCGGGGTGGGTGGCACCCAGACCATATAGAACAGCTGTAAATACACCGACGATGATGGGGAAAGCGAGAGGGATGATGCGAACCTCAGGCTCATGGATTCCGTTGCGTCGATTAGCAAACCACTTGATGAGCAAGTCGGATCCATAGCCAAAGCAAGGAAGGGCGACCAGGGAAGTTGCAATTTGGCCAGCGTTGACATAACTAGCTGAAGACTGAGGCCAGTTGTAGGGAGGGCTTGTGACGATGTGACCGTAAGTGGTACCAATAGCGATGTTAACACCAAGGGTGAGTCCGTTCAAAAGCAAGGCCCACATGACATTAGGGAAGAGCATGAGACTAAAGGTTTGCTAGGCAGGGGTCAGCAGGGTCGAGACTATCATGGACTTGAGCTAGCTTACTGTGAAGATCTCCAGAACCTTGTTCCACTCAGGTTCGCCGACCCAGAGTCGCAGGTCAGACCGCCAAGTTCGGGGAGCAAAGTTAACATAATCGAGCTCGGGTCGCTCTGTGCAGAGTATAACAGTGTCCTCGTCATCAGAGCTACTGCTGGCTTGGTAGGATGAGCTGGGGCGGTAGTACTTGGTCTCAGGGACGAAGAAAAAGGTCAGGATCAAGCAAACGGCTGATAGAATGGCGCCAAGGCCGTACCACCATCCAGGAGAGATAGCTTCGGCGATGGGGCCAGCAAAGATAACAAAGACGGCTGTGGCGATCGTCTGGATGGTTTGTTGGATCATCATGCAGCGGCCTCTCTCGTGGAGGAAAAAGATTTCCTAATCCTGTCAGACATGTCCCGCAACCATACCAATGAATATATTTACCTGGGTGATCATGGGCACGAGAGCCTCGCTTTGTCCAGCAGATAGTCCAAGAATGACACGTCCTGCGAGATGCCATTCATAGTTTGTTGCACCAGCGCATAGGCCAGCGCTCATGATCATGATGATTGTAGCTGCGATAAGAACGATTCGTCGACCGACTGCGATACCGATTGGCATTCCAATCAAATTGCCGATACCCCTATAGATGTGTTAGTTATTTCAGTGTCTGTTTCTACGTCTTGGAGTGAGCTCACATAAAGAGTGTGGGATAAGTCATCAGGTGCGTGATATCGGCATAACCCTTGCCAGCAGCCGCATAGTCTGGGATATAGAAACCTAGAAGGCCTCCAAATCCCGAGACCAATGCCAAACCAATTGTCGAGACTTTTTTTATGTTAATCGTCGTTTCTAACGAGGTCGGGTTCGGAAGGATTGCACGTACAGAGCGAGATGACAACGAGGACAGTGGCCTTTTGCCACATCTTCATGTTCAGGGGGTCTTGTCAAGTCAGCACTTTAATCGGACGACGGGCGGTTGGCAGCTTCTCACCTTGGGGGTCAGCAGTAGGGGTTGGGATGAAGATAGTCTTGCCCTCAGTGAGCTTGACTGTGCCGCTGATCTCGACTTTTGACTTGGAGACCTGGATCACGTCGAGAGAATCCCTTTCGAGATTCTCGACGTGATTGACATCTGACTTGGTGTCCATGATGATGGATTTGTTGCTGAAGGTGTCTCTGTGTTGCTCTGGCTTGCTTGCTGATGGAGCTGAGGAAAAGAGTCTCCAGATGGACGCCATAACTGAGGTCTTTATAGATATCTGACACGAGCCAAGAGATAACGAAAAGGGCAAGATGGGGAAACAAGGAGATGATTATCCCTGGCTAGGGAAATGTCAATGTCTGGCCTTGGCTGGTGCATCTCCCCGCAAAACCTTGTTTTCCCCGCAGGAGGACCACATCCCGAAGTCTTGGGTAGTTTGCGTGGATGAAGCTGGTTAGACTTATCGCGAACCGAGATCCGCCACCCCAGATTCTACCCCGGATTTTGGAGTTTTGGACCGAACCGAGTCTCGACCCTTGCTGTGGCGTTTCCCACTAACGACCCCCATGCCAAGTGTCTGGGCTTACATGACCCATCACGAGGTGTCAATTGGAAAACCACTGCCGATACGCGTGTCCATACATGGCAGTGGAGACACATGCACCTCAACATGCAGCTACATGCAGTTGTAGGTTATTGTGACGACGAGACAAAGCAATCTAGATTTGTTGAGTCTTCCCCAACAGTACGAAGATGCTCGAAGGCCGTTGGCCCATTCACTATGCTAGAAAAGCGAACCATCCAAGGCCTACTATAATAACACTAAGATCTCCAAAGTTTGTACAGTTTTCGGTTCGGAAGCAAAGTGACTTGGAGACACATGAGTAGAAGAATTCAGTGTGTATTGCAAAAAACTATAATACTGTAACAAGATCCTTGTCCGCCGTGGACTATTGTGCTTTCAAAATGACAACCAATAACCATATTCTACTCGTCATAAGACTTGACACCCGCCAATCTCAAGATTTGATCTGTCACCTCAGGCTTCTCAAATGGTTCTGTGCGGTACTTGGGGCAGATCTCGCCATTTCTCATTGGCTTCTCTTGTGCAATGCGGATGTTGCTAGAGAATAGTTAGCAAGGAATCATAGAGTAGAAAATTTATTAGTGACGTACCAATGGGGCCAATGCGTAGTGCCCGTGAAGGTCTCGAAGCAATAGCTCTTTGCCTTGAGGGCCTCTTCAGTGGCAAACTTCCTTGGTGTCATGCAAACATATTGGACGTGGCGGATCTGGTCACCCTCGGGGAACTTGGCATAGTGCATGGTGCGAGAGTCCCAGAGAACAAAGTCACCGGGCTCCATGTTCACCTTGTACATCTCACAGCCTCTCTCCTCGAACCACTTAACATCCTTCTCGCTGAAGAGAAAAAGGTCCATGTACTTGATCTCAGGTGGGGGAGCATCCTCGTGGTCAGCGGACTCTCTCTTGTGAGCAAAGAACTCGTTGAAGAGCTTAGATGAACCCTTCATCAAGACTAGACCACCATCCTTCTCGCCGTTGGGGGCGAAGTTGAGGAGACCCTGGACAGCTTGCATTCCCTTTCGTTCGGGGTTCTGGTCACAGTGGGGCCAGGGGCTCCAAGTAATGTCCTTGCGGTTGGGCAAAGAGATGTTGAGGCCATCGAAAGAGCAGAGAAGCTCCTTGGTTTCCCAGAGTTTCTCAAAGATCTCAACGACCTTTGGCTCGGTTCTGGCCTCCCAAGCCATCTTCTCATGAGTAGCACCGTAGCCGTAGTACATGCCACCCTTGAAGCTGATGGGGAGGTGATCGGCGTTCCAGGTGCTGGGGTCCTTCTCATCAAAGCCGAGCTCGAACTTCTTGAGCCACTCAATCTGCTTGTCGCAGTAGTACTGAGCTCGCTCGGGGCTAATCACATTCTTGATGACAACGCAGCCTGTCTTGTGGAACTCATCTCGCCAGTCGCCGTAGACGGCATTGGGGTCGAATTCGACCAAGTCCTTGGTCTCAAACCGAGCAGCGACTGTTTGAGTCGGCTCAACGGTGACTGTGGTAGACATTTTGGAAGGATTATTAGAAATGAATAATAGATGTGATGTGATAGAACAGAGTTGGAAGTGTTGTGTTTTTTGATGATGAAAAACGCTAAGATGTCCTTGAGGCTGAAGCTAGTTATATCTGTGATCCGGGCCTCAGAAGTGAGAATATGGGGTAATGAGAGCCCTAATCGGCTCGGTATCAGGTTTACACGGTTGGGGAAACGATATTCACGCATTATTTCGGTTCGGTACACTTCGGTCCGGTCCGGACTCTGTTGTATTCGGATCATATCTAGTGTAACACTAGTTGTAGCCGCTATCAGCAACGTGACAGGGTAAACCATTGGGCTTCACAACGAGCCTCAAGGGACATGATAATGAACAACCAATCGGAGACAGTCAATTAAGAATGACAGTTTCCACTTCGTGGTTGCATGATCAACCGAGTTGCATCCCCTGCGATCCTTTCCCCTCATTTCGATATTACCCCGTGGGGAATTTTAGTCCGAACCGACCCTGGACCCAGTTGTCTAATCTTGTGAGAGACGAAATAAACTAACCATGTTTGGTGAGTTGCTCATAGTAATTTGTGTAATGATTTCTTGCACCATCGGTTTACGCCGCAGTCATGGAACCGAATGCGGGAAATCCATCTCTCGTTAGTCCTGGAGCTCCCCACTCGTCTTCACGATTCTCATCATTAGGCCGAGGAGTTTAAAGAAGGTCCTCACTCTCTACAGAATCAGACATTCAAGAGCATTGAGCATTCTATCTACTAAGTCAATTGTTTCAAGGAGACCATTACTTTATCCTGATCACCAAAAAGTCCTTCAAAATTGTCATCTTCAAGGCGATTCGCCTTCACCTAATTCTTTACCACCCACATCTATACACACTACCCCAACCCAATCAATATGCCTCCCCCTGTTCAGGTCGCCTTCAAGCCCCTCAACAAGCCTGAGGTTGGCAACAATGGCTACGTTGAGCCTAGTATTGGCAAGACAGAAGTCCTAAAAAAGGGCTCTGCTCCTTTCAATGCCAGAACTCTCGACTCCGATATCCGCATTGATCACGATGTTGAGGTTGTTGTTCGTGATGGCTGCCGTCTCTATGTTGACATATACCGCCCTACAAGTTCAGAAAAGGTACCCGTTATCATTTCTTGGTCTCCCTATGGAAAGAAGTATTCGGCTCTGGACATGATATTTAATGTCTGTGTCTGGGCCTGCTGCTTGACAAAGGACGATGTCAGTGGTCTGGAGAAGTTTGAAGGTCTTGACCCTGCTTGGTGGGTCAACCAAGGCTATGCTATTGCCCACGTTGATGCTCGAGGAGCTGGCAACAGTGACGGTGACGCAGTTTGCATGGGTGCACAGGAAGCAGAGGATGCTCACGATGTTATCGAGGCTCTGGCAAAGCTTTCCTGGTGTAATGGCAATGTTGGCATGGCTGGAAACTCATACCTGGCCATCATGCAATGGCAAGCCGCTGCTCAGAACCCACCATCATTGAAGGCAATTGCACCTTGGGAGGGTTCAGGCGATATTTTTCGTGAGCAGTTTAATCGTGGAGGGTGGTTCTCGATGAGTAACTTTGATCTCATTACAACGCTTGTCATTAAAGTGAGTCAACCCCTATCTACTCTGATATCTGAGACCACGGAAAGTTGAGATTGAGACTAACTACTTGGGAATAGGGCCAGCATGGAGTCGAGGATATCGCTGAGATGCACCGTCGTAGCCCTCAGGCTAATGCTTACTGGAATGATAAGCGTGTCGACTTCAGCAAGATTGACATCCCAGTTTTCATCACTGGCTCTGATCTCAGCCAGATCCACACCATGGGTGCTGTGAGAGGCTGGATGGAGTTGAGCAGTGAGAAAAAGTGGATCAAGTGGTGTGGACATCAGGAGTGGTTTGAGCTGTACGGTGTCAAGGAGAGCTACCCCGAGCTTAAGGTATGTCTTCAACCAAAAATGGGTAACTGAACTTATGGCTGACTCTTCGCAGAAATACTTTGACAAGTATCTCAAGGGCATTGATAACGATTGGGAAGACACGCCTCGAGTCCGCTGGACAACACTACAGTTTGATGAAGGCAAGGTCAAGAGCGACATTGAGCTTCCTGACTTCCCAGTTCCCAATACCGACTACCGATCGTTTTATCTTGGAGACAGCAATGGTCTTCTCGATTCTGCTCCTTCTTCTGGTGTTTCAACCTACAACTCCGAAGATCGTTGGTCCATTTCCAAGTTCCGCTATACATTCGACAAGCACACCCGAATTATCGGTATGCCCAAGGCTGAGCTCTACATGAGCTGCGATGACTTCGACGATATGGTCGTCTTCTGCCAAGTCCGTAAGCTGGACAAGTCTGGCAAGGAACTGAGCCATCTGCAATTCCCCATCGACAAGACCCCCGTGAAAGCCATTTCAGAAATGGCAGAGAAGGATCGTTCGAGTCTCACATTACATAACGGTGCTATGGGCATCCTACGAGCCTCTCAAAGGAAGATTGATGAGAAGAAATCGATCCACCCCCAGTTTCCCTTCCACCCCCATGATGAGGTGCAGAAGATTCCCAAGGGCGAAGTGGTCAAGCTTGAGATCGGTATTTGGTGCATGGGCGTTGACTACGAGGAGGGTGAGAGTCTTCAACTGGATATTTTGGGACAATATCCTGGATTTACTGAGACTGCTGCATTCTCCAAGCCAAGGCCGGACAGTGAGAAGAACAAGGGTCAGCATAAGATTCACTACGGCGGTGATTACCCGAGCAGAATTATACTGCCTATTGTTTAAATGTTTGAGATAGGTTTGGACTAGATAGTATAGCAAATTAGTTGGCCATGACATACCATCAACCATATATCTATCATAGAGTTCAAAGTTTGAAAGCTGTAGTGTATTGTCCCACTCTTGAGGTTCTCTAACACCATCATAGTTGTCGTTTAAAGTCATCTGTCGGTCTCGGTACTAATCAAATGAAGATATATTGAGGCGATTCTAAGGGAATTCTACGCCTCTACAGCCTCGGTGTTTGAACAATTAATAAACGAGAACACAAATCCTCATTTTGTTACTCATCAGCTGCTATTTGACATATTCGATACCCATATTCTGTGTCATATTATACTATACAAATGTCATTGTTATTACTATAGACTTATATCCATCATCATGGTTTAGCTGTTCCGTTCTTCTGACGCTCCTCCCAATCAACAGCGCCATCATAGTCGCTGTTGTACTTCATAAACTGAGCAGGATCCAGTTTAATCTCCTTGCTTACTCCATCTGTTGCCGGCTTCGCCTGCTCTCTACTGAACTTCTGAATCAGAGTTGCCCTGTCATACCTGGTAGCAAACACCCTCTTCAAAGCCTCCCCAACTTGATCTCTAGATTGAATATCGGACAGGAATGCACTGATGGCCTCTGCATCTTCGATACTCTGCGAAGCACCCTGTCCCTGTGTGGGTAGCATAGCATGCGCTGCGTCACCGATCAGGACAGTTCGTCCCTTGACCCAGTTTGACAAGGGGTCAATATCTCGTAGCTGCCAGAGTCCGATATCAGGTGCCGCCTTGAAGATATCATGTAGCCATGATGGGAAGTCTGAGTATGCTTCCAAGAGCTTTTCAATGCTACCGGGAGCTACCCAGCTATCTGAACTCTCCTCTGAGAGCTTCTCGTCCGGCACCAGAGCAACAATGCCGTAAAGTTTGCTTCCTCTACCAGGGCCCATGATTATTCTTCTGTCGTGGCCCATGATCATGGTTGTCTTGGGGTCGGCGGGATCCAAGATCTTCTCGGGAAGAGATAGATCTTTCAGGTTCTCAATTGGGATGAGCATACGATATGCTGATGTACCAGTTGGTAGAGCTTCCTTCTTCTCTCCTACCACGGCTGTTCTCACAACGCTGTGGATACCATCTGCTCCAATGATGACGTCTCCGTGGACTTTTTCGCCAGAGTCGAGTGTCACGGTTCCTTCGTCGCAATCGACGCTGGCTACTTGACAACCGGTTCTAATATCCACAGGCTTTCCTTGAGCCAGCTCGCTGACTGCTGCAGTTCCAAGAGAAGACTGCAAGTCTTGCCTATGGTAAAGAACACGATCTGCGCCGAATTGTCCTTTCTGGAAAGGCAGCTCTCTCACCAAGTTACCGTCAGCGTCAAAGATTCTGAAACCTTGATCAATCTGAGGCTCAGCGTTCTCAAGAAATGGATCAAGTTTCCATTTTGTGATAATCTTGCTGGCGTTGGGTTGAAGAGAGATCAGAGCGCCGACTTCACGTAGAAGGCGAGAGCGCTCAAGCACTGTAATGCGTCTGTTGGGGTGTCTTAGGGCACATGCCTGGAATTATTTAGCGTCTTTTCAGGTGCATTGTGCTGGCGTATTAGGGAACATACTGTCGCAAGTCCTGCGATTCCTCCACCAACAATAACGATATGTAGATCAGATAAGCTACCCATGATGAACTTCGTAATTTTGCTGAAGTATTCCGTTTTATTGCTATGAACATGCCCAATATGCCGTTCTGATTACATCTTATACACGACTGCCAAAGGCTTTGCCAGAGAGGCGCTAGCATCTGCCAGATCCGGGGATGAGCGAACCGAGCCCGAACCGAGATCAGCGAACCGAAGCGATCATGGGGGTAACATAATGCCCCTCAAGGTACGACCCGAGGCAATTGCCGTGATAGATGGGGATTTCTGACTTGTGCATTTGTACGTAAGCGCATTTGCATTTAGGATGGTGTGGACTCGGTCGAATCTTGTCCGATGTTTCGGCCAACTACTGCAGATACTCAACTTGGGGCACAAGCCTTGGGGCAGTCGAGAAATTGGCCGCTGGAAGCACAAGGATTTGCAGTATGGAACAGTCATACAACGCGTCATTGAGCATTTATTAAATCAAGAATAAAGACACAGTCGTAGGTCGCGTAAGATGGTATGATCGTCCTGTCACTGACTATGTTGCATATGACATTTTGCTTTCCCAGAATTAACCTACTTGGCGATATGTGTCACATCCCCCAGTCATTCTGGGTTGTTCGCTGTTTGTTTTCAGCTGGCGGTCACGCACTAACTAAATGCCAGCGGTACCTCTCTTACTGTGTCGCGCTCTGTAGACCGCTATTTTTAGTGGCATAATGTTACAATTACGAGTTGCCAATTGTTTCTCAGTCACTTCACTACCATCAAATTATCCTTACGCTTGTTTCTCAATTCATGTACCTTTCTGAAAAGAAAAAAGAAGATGCATTGTTGCTACCTATACTACATAAATCTCTAAAGAATTCACTCATTTTCCATCTCCTTTTACCTCTAGCTAGCCTCAGCCTTGATGTAAGGAATACCTGTCAACTTGAATGCCCGCTCATTGAGTTGGGGCTCGTGAAGAGGTCTGTCGCGGACAGCATGATCGGGCTTGCCATTTCTCTTGGCCTCATTGGATCCGATGTGGCGGGCGTTGGGCCAGTGTGTGGTACCGACTCTGCGCTCGAAAGCGTCCTTCTTGCGGATGAGATCCTCCTGTGTTGCTTCAGTCACAGGCATGAAGCAAGTGTAGATGGCAAATCGGTCCTGAGTACCCTTCACAGGTACGTTATAGTGAGGAGTTCGTGAGTCCCAGACAATCAGGTCACCGGGGTCAGCCTCGACCTTGTACCACTCACAACCGTGATCCTCAAGCCACTTCATGCCCTTGTCTGTGAATCCATACCACTCTGGGGTCCAGGCAGGAATACGGTCTTCAGTGCCACGAATGTCATCGTGAAATTGCTTGCTCAACAGGTGACCACCCTTAGCGACGATAAGACCGCCATCGTTAGGGCCATTAGGCAACAGGTTCACGAGGCCCTGGAGGCAACGGAAGCCGGGCTTATCGGGATCTTGATCTTGGTGAGGCCAGGGCTTGTTGGCGGGCAGGTTCTCTCGGTTCGAAAAGCCGTAGTTGATGGCATCAAAGGACACAATCAGATCTTCCGTGCCAAGGGCCTTCTCGAAAGCACCAACTACACCAGGCTCGGCGCGAACGTTCCAGACAAAGTCTTCATGGGCAGCACCGTAGTTCAAAAGCATACCCTTCTCGTTGATGACGGGAAGCTTGTCGGGGTGGACGCTGGAGCGGTCGTTGCGGTTATATCCTAGACCACTACGCATGTTAGTTGGATACTTGCTAATTTACAGTACCAGTGTACTTACAAGCTCTCGAGCAGACCATACATGCGATTAGCATAGCTCAGTGCCCGCTCTCGAGGAATGGCACCTTTGATGACGGCATAGCCATCACGGACAAGGTCATCTCTCCAGTCACCGTATCGTCGGTCATTACCGTCAATAACGATACGGTCGATCCCTTCAGGTCGAAGAGTGAGCGTTGGGTGCTCCTGTGTAGTGGTGGTGGTTGCTGATGGAGCCATTGTGTCGATAGGTCTGAACAGAATGAACGAGTCAGGTAGTTTGTTGTTAACTTTGAGTTCTGGAGATGAGTCGCAGTCTTCCATCCTTTATATGCATCTCGAATAGGTTGCTCGATTACTCCACTGCCTCTAACAATAACTAGAATCCGGGGTAGTGCAGTGCTGGTAAGCAGATCACGGAGGCGTGGGGACATCCCCGAACCGAGAGCTCGACCGAACCGCTCGGTTCATCTCAACGAGGGGCGATGGATGCCACATGGCGTAACGTCTTCCATATTATACTTGACAGGGCCTCTATTTTGGGTGCGGATGATACATTATTAGAAAGTGAGTTTAGACTCTAACCAGGTTGATCCCATGATCCGCCTTTCCGTCTCCGGTTTTGCAGGTTGATGCGAGATCGCAGTCCTGGTATCCCTTGTTCTTGTGTTTAAAGTGTAGTTTGAGCAGAAGTAACGCTACTTTAGCTTCTCTTTTCCAACGCTCTCTCATAACAAATAAAGCTTCATATGGGATATTCTAAACCATTACATAACTACTACAGATCTATTGGTAGAACTACTGAAGTATCAGGCTTCACAATACCGTCCGCCTTCTCGATCTTCAATCACGGTGTCTTGTTGGATATCCAGCCAACATACATAGCATTGTGGATAATAGCCACCTGAAATATTCCAATATGAACCAACTGCATGTTTGGGCATGATGACCAGAAACGCTCATCTCCGAGATCCTCTCATGATACCACCATCGTACGCGAACATCTGTGCGGTTCGGCTCGGTGATTAAGTCAAGGAAACCGACGATAATCATCACTGGTTATTTATTCTCAGTCAAGGCCCTTGTCTGCTCTAAGTTCCATGCAATAAAACCTATCGAGCCCGCCCTTCGACCAGTTCTCGTGACGTTTGTCAGAAGTCGCTAACTAAGCTTCGTGGATAGCTCGGCATCAACGTATACAACTGCAATTCCAGAAGGTACGGGACGGTGTGAACTCGTCTGCTATTGGGTATCCTTTTCTAAACTCAGACTATATCCTCTGTTGATTAAACTAATATCTCAACACATGCCCTGATCACCAATGGTTGCGAAGTCGCTCTCCATTACCGCCCAGAAGTGGTCTAACGGCATCGCTTGAAACGGATCCTGGAAATACTCTAACGGGTCGAACACGAGCGAATCAACATTGGTATCGCAGAATTGGCTTGGCGACAACATTCTTTGATCAAGACTCGCATCTTGAGAGTCCTGTTGCGACAATCTCGGTGTCTGAATAGTTGAGCTGTCACCGGACAAGACTTGGTTCACGCGCAGTGATAGTTCCAACACGCCTTTGACGAACTCGCTGTGTTGACCGACGCGTCGGTAACACTCAGCAACGTAGTCAGATCCTATCCTTACAAGCTCGCCATCTGATCGACCCATTCGCTTATGTGGTTTCTTAAAGGTTTGAAGTGCAAGTGTCACGGCTGCCAAGAAAGTCGGAGTCGGAGTCAATAGTAAAAAGTCGGGTTGACAGTCTGCAAACTCGGCGACTTGGGTTATAATGGTTCGCGCAGCCTCGACGCAGGTAATCTGACTTTGCAACAGTCGAGAGATACTCTGAATCTTGGACTCGTGCCTCTGAACCTGATTCTGGAACGAGGTTTCAGGGAATATTAGTGATGCTCGTAGAAGAGTGATTTGAGCCTGGTGGAAATGTTAGCACTCCATACAGTTTCAACGCTGACTATCTTGCTTACCTGATGGAACTGCAAAGACAAAAAGACGGCAAATGACTTCTCTTCTGAGCTCTTTGCGTTTTGGTTTGTCTTCGCGTCCTCTGTCCCTTCGTCAAGCCAGTCAATCAGTGCCTGATCTAGCTGTGCAATACCCGACAAGAACTCAAGAGCACTCTCTGCTCTCCTCTGGAAGATATGCTCGCTGATCTTTCCGACCAGTAGAGAAAGAGACACCCATCTGATAAAACATGTATTCAACCCGCTGCTCTTATCTGGTAGTGGCTGATCACAATCGGTGATTTCTATGGCACTAGGTCGGCCTGTCTCCAGCTGCATGGATTTCTCCAACGCATAGCATGACCACCAGACTCTAGAGTGCAGTTGACGGTCAACTTGATTTCCGGAGTCCTCGTTAGGGTTCGATATAACAATCTTTCGGTGAAAACCCAGCGAGTAGCCTATCCGGATCGCTTGGCCAAGTAAATGCCAACATTGGCCGTCTTTCCCTGTTAAAATAGGGTCAGCAAAGCGGTATGTCATGATATGTATAAGACTTACCTCTTGCACGCATAGCCACAGCTAGCAGAACAAGGGCTTGGACAGAGCTCATATATGGGAAGCTCAGTAAGTGGCTAACTAGAGAATAAGCACCTGTAAGATAGCCTGTGGCTGTAGGTGATATTGTGCCTTCGTGATCATCCATACCAATACTCAACACAGCATATATTGCAACGAGAGCAGGTGCATCCACAGAAGTTATTGCGCCTTGGAGGCCACTTTGACACGTTTGTTGTAGATCGGAAAAGCGTAAAACATCGGATATGAACTCTGTATGATCGAGTACCGGTATTAGAGGATGCGTGCGGCTGAAGTATTTCTTTATACAGGGCTCCATGACGGACATGCTTGGTAGGTCTGGCAAGCTCGGTACTAAGGGCAGCGAAAATTCCTCAGTAAAGCACATGCCCCAGCGGAAATGTCTGCCAATGGGATCTAGTCCTCGTCGCTGGAGAAAGAGATCAATGAAGCGGGTGAGGCATTGTAAGCTACTGGAACCCATGTACTATAACAGATCAATCGATGTTGCATGGCACACCAAGACGATGCCAACCAACCTTTATGCGATGCGACGACTCATCGGTGTTCATAACGACATCAGGGCTGTCATTTGTCTGTCCATCAGTCCCGCTCTCGGGCGAAGTCTGAACCTCTTGGTATGCGCGCTCAATCCACGACGGAACCCTCTCTTTATTGCCACTCGCCGATAAAGGTGTCGAGGCAGCATGTTGCGACCCAATAAGCGAAGCCGGGGAGCTGTGCTGGCTAACGACTGAAGCTCTGCGCTGGACGGGAGATAGCGTCGATGTGCTCTGTGAACTCTTGTGTGGCCATTTTCTCACTGCTACAGCATTGGGTCGTCGTGGGTCGAAAGTTGTGCATTCATCGCCTCGTAGAACGCAATTGCGACACTTGGGGGTTGTCGCGTCGCATCGCACTTTGCGCTTACGACATTGAGTACACGCCAAAGAGAGACGGCCACGTTTGGATCGGGGAGGGCGCGGTGAGACGCTTTGGGATGCTTGTGATATCGATTCCATGGTGGAAGACATTATTACTGAGTGTTTGAGCGACAAACAAAAGAGAGATCAGAACAGAATAGAAACGTCACTCGTCTCGGGGAGAAGATTACCGAGGGTGTCGCCAACAATTTGTATCCCCCACACGCGTATCATAAGCAGTGTCCGGGGTAATAGTTGCTAAACAACTCCCCCGCATTCATGGATGTCTCCGAATTGCGGAAGACCTTTACGGCTTTGATCGAGAATAAAATAAATAAACATCGATCTGGTCTGGACTGAACCGAATTGACTGAATTATTTCGTCTCTCATCCTGTCCGTAGCCAAGCTTTACTACCCTGGGCCTGGCAGCTTCATCTCTCGCGGGGTAACTAGTCTAAGAGATGATGGTTCCGCACACGAAGGAAATGCGGATATTCGAGGCCCTGCATTGCTTGGTCATGTTCCAATGTCGCTGTTCTCATTGGAGATGGGGGTGCTGGAGACTACTGAGGAGGCGTTTGTTAGCTCGTCGCTCAAATTCGGTTCGATTCGGTTCGGATAAGGATTTCCTTCCTGGTCATCCAGACGGGGATCGAGACACGAGTAAGTTCAACCAGTACTGTCCCCCCATCACGACTCGTCAGTATGAGAAACGGTGTATTCCCTACCAGTTCAATATGCCACGCTGAGATGGACTGCAGAGTAGAGAAAAAATACAGAAAAATTCACTTGCTTCAATTAGTTATGTAATTGAGTTCACCTAAAGGAAATCTCCCTTTGTTTCATTCGTACCGATCCATTTCAAGGGAGAATTACCGTCCGGGATCGTCAGCTCCGAACCGAAGCGAACCGAACTAACAACAACACATTCTCCAAGTGGTTCGTTCAATTCTCGTTGTCTACATAATCACGAACGCCGTTTCGACCAAGATTTTTTACTGTTACATCCAGCGTATCATGTCGGAGCCACTACAATCACAGTCACAGCCACAGTCTCCCTCACACCAACAAGATGGACACAACGAAAAAGACGATGTGGGCTCCCGTCTTGAACCTGTCGATACAGGGGCTTCATACGTTCCTCCACACATGACAACGCTTCAGCGACGCCTTGTTGTCCTGTCTCTTTGTCTGACTCTTTTCCTCTGTGCATTGGACACGACCATCTTGGCTACAGCTCTTCCAACCATTGGCAATGAACTACACACGTCGGCTCGCGAATATGCCTGGATAGGTTCTTCCTACACGCTATCAACAACAGCGGTGACACCAGTATGGGCCAAGATCTCCGATATCGTTGGCCGCAAGCCGAGTATGATGAGTGCCACGGGTCTTTTTATGGCTGGAAGTCTTATTTGCGCTTTGGCAAATTCGAGTGGCATGCTCATCGGTGGCAGAGTAGTCCAGGGTCTCGGAGGTGGAGGCTGCATGGTCCTCATCACGATTCTCATTGGAGACTTGTTTCCCTTGAAGGATCGTGCCAAATACTACGGTATCACAGGACTTGTGTTTGGTATTGCTGGAGCCATTGGTCCAGTATTGGGTGGTGTTTTCTCTCAAGCCGTTACTTGGAGGTGGTGCTGTAAGTATACCCCGGCTGACCACTCTATTAGACATTAGCTAACCACCTGCACAGTTTATATCAACTTACCTTTTGAAGGAGTTGCTCTGGTAGCACTCTTCTTCCTACTCAAGGTCAACATTGAGAGGGAACCTCTCATTGACGGCTTGCGCAGCCTTGACTGGGCTGGCTTTGCTTTCATCATCGGCGGCACTATCTGCTTCCTTTATGGTCTTGAAGCTGGCTCAGGTGGACTCGCCCCCTGGAACTCTGCCTTTGTCATTTGCCTTATCGTCTTTGGAGTTGTTATCTTGGCACTCTTCATGGTATGGGAAGCCAAAGTTGCCAAGAACCCCATCATCCCTATTCGGATCTTCCAGAGCAGGACGAACGTGGCCTCTTTCGCCGTGGCAAACTTGCACTCGTTCATTTTCATATCATACGACTACTTCTTGCCGCTTTACTTTCAGGTTATTCTTGGTTTCTCGCCCATCATGTCTGGAGTTACCTTGTTTCCTCTCATTCTTCCCATGTCGATTTCGACTGGCCTTGGTGGGTTATTTGTGAGAAAGACTGGAAACTACAAGATCGTGATTCTTGTTGGTGCTTCTCTCATGACTCTCGGTACAGGCCTCTTCATCAGCCTCGGTCAGCGAAAGGACTGGGTCAAATTGGTGATTTTCCAAGTCATTGCAGGCTTGGGCTGCGGTGTTCTGTTCCAAAACCCCATGATCGCGCTCCAGACTCATGTTCGACAGAGGGATATGGCAGCGGCTATGTCTGCGTATACGTTTATGCGCGGTCTCTTTGTTTCCATTTCCATTGTGGTCGGAACAGTCTTGATTCAGCGGACTGTTCGTGGAGGCAATCTGACTCATGTATCCAGTGACGCAGAACAAGGCGAGACCGACAAGCAAGGATATATCAGTGGTTTGAGGGTCATGTGGGCATTTTACACGGCTCTGTGTGGTTTAATGGTGGTATCGGCGGTCTTTATTCTGCCCAAGCCGGTAAAGACAGAAGTAAATAGCGAGACAGGTACTGAAACTCAACAAAGCGATAAGACGGACGCCATAGCTTAGACGTTGAGTGGAAGGGCATGGATGAACATTTTACTAGATAAAATAGTAACAAAGACGCGTATATGCACGGCCCAGAGGAATTTGTGATGACATGAATGAAGATGCGTTCTGGCTAGTCGCGTCGGGGATGTCTGTCTCGCTTGGTATCCTCAAAGGGTATAGCGTAGCAGCCCAAGGAGCAAAAAGATGAGGTTCTGCCCGGGCTCGAACCGGGGACCTTCTCGGTGTTAACGAGATGTCATAACCAACTAGACCACAGTACCTGGGTTTTGCTTGGCGACTCTTCTCCAGATTGGGGTACATGATGATCGCCAGCCGTTGCTCAATGGGGAAAACGCCTCGATCTATGGTACCGGATGGCTGGTTCGATCAAGCCAAGAGACGGCTGAATTGGCTGGAAAGGGACTGGTATTTAGTGCCATTATTGCTGCTTCTATGACGCGATTCCGTCGGACTAATCTGAATGCGGATTGTTTCAGTGTGTCGTGATGCGATGATCAACGCTTCAATTTGGGTGGACTTACCCTATAACTTGATCAATTAATTATTACAACAAGAACACGGTCAATTGTTACTGTACGAACTTGGAATATTCTATGCACTATAAACTTGCTAGGGACTCAGTAATACCAGTCTTAAGCTGTAAAATTATGATTTGTCAGAGCTCAACAAAGTCAAAGAGAGCCACCTGGCTGATCAACACAAGTGTTTCAAATCATATTGCAAAAAGTATCACGGACGGAATTACTAAGCCAGTTTATGCTCCCAAGAGATCAAAGTTTGTAGACCAATTGCTTGATTATGCCCACTGGTTAAACCGTAAAGGGTCATGATAAAAGGACCGATTCATAAAGGCTTTATTGACAATCCTTCACTGTATCCGCCCAACAAGCGTAATTACAGGCGCTTCGGATGGGATGACAAGCCTCCACTATCTCGGCATGATATCTCCATTCAGTCAATCTAGAATCTTTCCCATCTAAGATACGAGAGATCTCCCATGCTGTTTAATAAGCGGATCATGCGATAACGAAAAGGAGTTTTAAATAACTTCAGCTCCGTCTCCATATCAGAGAACAACGCTATTGGATAACTTCATGACTCGCGTCCTACGCTTGCTAAGCTGAGACCGGATTTCGGCAGCGGAATGACGCAAAGTCCGTGGCAAAAAAGTTTTTCGGACTTGATAACCAATGACACGATTTGCGCAAACTTTTCGCATACAATGTCCATGGAGTTCCCGTGGGTTTTTGTCATGACGGACTCAATCTTGCCCCCGAAGGAAGCCTACAGACGTATCTCCAAACTCTGATCTAGGGTCTGATTTCTAACCCGCTATGACCGTTACTTATCCGTTGACGAGCACGTTTATCATTACTCAGTTCTACCACAACTGCACCGGATTTTGCATTGATTACGGCCGAAAAGCCCGATCCGGACCCGACAACCCGTTAGGTTGGATCTACAGCCGAGGCATAACCAAAACCAGATGAATAGGAGTAACCTAGAACGTTCTTAGCGTCTCGCTTGGTGATATCATTCCTTGTCGGATTTAACCAAGGGACCACACGTCCTTGCCTGTCCAGGGTATTGTCGCCGGTCGGCGGATCCGTCATGGAATTGAAGAGATTTGCCTACAATATTCGTCCGGCAGTTACGTAGTCAATTAATAAAGTCCGATCAAAGAAACCTGGTCCTTATTTAAGTCGCTTGGCTCCCGTTTCTTTTGTTGATCTGCATGCTCTTTCCAGACAACGGGTTTTTAGCTTTCTCCCCCACCCAAACGCATCGACGCTATTCGCACTCACACATACAGCGACTACTCGATACGACAACGACACGATGAGCGAAAACGATAAAATAGAAAGCCCAGCGATGGCTAAAATCCCCTATTGGCGATTGGTCACTGACCAGGCTGGTATCACACCAGAAGTCCAAAACTACAAGTACGATGGTTCAGGTACAGAGGAGGACCCTTACAGGGTGAAATGGATCCCCAATGACCCCCGAAACCCCATGGAGTTCAGCCAAGTCAAGAAGTGGTTCATCACCATGACTGTCGCTATGACCACCCTCGCTGTCGCCCTTGTGTCGTCAGCTTACACTGGTGGTATTCGACAAATCATTATGGAGTTTAACATCAGCCAAGAAGTCGCTACTCTTGGTGTGTCCCTCTTCGTCTTGGGTTTCGCAATTGGCCCTCTTCTCTGGGCGCCTCTTAGCGAGATGTTTGGTCGCCAATACCTCTTCATTGGTACCTATGCTGCTCTTACTGCCTTCAACTCTGGCTGCGCCGGCGCCAACAACGCCACGACTCTTATTGTTCTACGATTCTTTGCTGGCGCTTTCGGTTCATCGCCTCTTACCAACGCTGGTGGTACCATTGCCGACATGTTCCCCGCTTCCCAGCGTGGTCTCGCCATGGCCATCTTCGCTGCGGCTCCCTTCCTCGGCCCCGTCCTCGGTCCCATTATTGGAGGTTTCCTTGGTATGAATGCTGGCTGGCGATGGGTCATGGGCTTCCTCGGTGCCTTCTCTGGTGCCCTCTGGATCATTGGTACCCTTCTTGTTCCCGAGACTTATGCCCCAGTCCTTCTCCGTCGCCGTGCTGCTAAGCTCTCCGAGATGACTGGCAAGGTCTACGTCAGCCAGGTTGATCACGACCGTGGCAAGGTTACTCTCACCGAATCCTTCAAGACGGCCCTTTCGCGCCCCTGGATCCTCCTCTTCCGAGAGCCCATTGTGCTTCTCCTTTCCATCTACATGGCTATTGTCTACGGAACCCTTTACATGCTCTTCGGTGCCTTCCCCATTGTGTACCAGCAGCAGCGTGGATGGAACGCCGGTGTCGGTGGCCTTGCTTTCCTTGGTATCATGATTGGTATGCTCGGAGCTATTGGGTACACTATCCCCATGAACAAGCGCTACGTCAAGATCGAGAAGGAGAACGGTGGCTTCGCCCCACCTGAAGCTCGTCTCCCCTCATGCCTTATCGGTTCCGTCTGTCTGCCCATCGGTCTTTTCTGGTTCGCCTGGACCAACGGCCCCTCTACTCACTGGCTCGTTAGCATCGCTGCTGGTGTCCCCTTCGGTTTCGGCATGGTTCTTGTCTTCCTCAGTGTCATGAACTATCTCATTGACGCCTACACCATCTTTGCCGCCTCAGTTCTGGCTGCCAACTCAGTCCTCCGATCTCTCTTCGGTGCCGCTTTCCCTCTCTTCACCAGCTACATGTACAAGGACCTTGGTATTCACTGGGCTTCATCTGTCCCCGCCTTCCTTGCCTTGGCTTGTGTTCCCTTCCCTTTCCTGTTTTACAAGTACGGTGCTTCCATTCGCGAGAAGTGCAAGTTCGCCGCTCAGTCCGCTGCTTTCATGCGCAAGCTGCAAACCGACAGCGCTGCCGCTGCCGATGAAGAGAAGAGGGAGGATGATGTCGCTGAGGAGGAGACCTTTGATGACGATGCCTCCACAGAGGTTGATGAGCCCGCTTATGCTCCCATTACAGCAAGCAGGACACATCAATCCACACGATCTCATGCCTCTAGGGCCTCTCGTGCCTCGCGGGCTTCAATGGCTTCGCGCCGCAAGTCATATGAGGGCAACCCTTACGACATTGACCGTGTCAACACAAGGCAATCATTCACATAAAATAATCATCACCTAAAAGTTATTGCGGGGTTGGAAACCCAAGAAAAATTGACGGCCGTATAACGTTTAATTACATAGACTTACTTCTTTACAATAATACCCCATTTCTTACTCTCATACTTCCGACCCAACTTTGATCCATCGTGTGAAGTTTATACGCATTGTTCATGGGCATGACGTATTGATCATGTGCCTTGAACAATTGCTTGGTTTAACATGCAGTAATTAGAGGTTTGGTAAGGCTAGCGCTACTGTACCAAGGTAGTATGGCATCATTAGCGCCCAAGGCGAAGCTGAGCTTTGGCTGTTTCCTTGGCAGTTAGTGACAATGATGCACTGGACTGGGTAAGTGTCCCGCCTGTAACATGCTTTAGCTGTGAACCAGTGGCACGGCACAAGGTCTTGAACATGACCCACTAGGTTCTCAACACGCACCTTGTTCCAATTCTCTTGCGCAAAGAACAACTTCCTGAGACGTTTCTTCCATTTACTAGAGACATGATAACTAATATTGACTCGTCTTCCATCGGAAAAACCAGGTACTGTGGTCTAGTTGGTTATGACATCTCGTTAACACCGAGAAGGTCCCCGGTTCGAGCCCGGGCAGAACCTCATCTTTTTGCTTCTTGCGCTATAATGATGCTGACGATCAACGTACTTTTGCCATCCGAAGTTGAAAGAACTACTGTATAGAAAGGACATGCAGGAGTGAATCACCTAGAATGAGACTGATGACAGAGTCACTATAATAAAATTGAAGGCGAGACTGTATGGTGGCTAGCTATATGGCATGCCTCAAGATTGAAACATCTTGTATAAATGAAACGTTTGCTTTGCAGATTGCAAATGATTGATTTGATCGCTTCACCCCTCCGACGCCGATTTTATAAACAGACTAGATCTGCTGTATAACTCAATCTCTGAATGGAAAGTACTTCTGCGGGCAGGTGATATTCGCAGTCGGAACTACGCCTTGGAGATATCCCTGTATGTGTTCATAATAACAAGGAGACCCTCCCTCTCGTGTAACAGGATGCTGGAAAGGGTCGAACGATTAGCTGAGATCACTTCCTAGAACATGCTTGGAACTTACGCCAACGGATTCCTGCAAAAGTACCACTGATCCCGGAAATCGAGAAGCCATCTTGTGGGCACTTGGAGAGATTAGTCAACTGATCATTGATAGGCAAGCTATGGGGGAAATACTTGGCTGCAGGAGCAACGGGGTCGAGGGTATTGCTTGTGAATAGTATCGGAAAAGACATGGGCTTGTTGATTCCAGTAACTGGACCTACAAGAAGAGATTAGACTAATTGTTCGCAATAATATCACTACTGAGCGATAAGGTAAAAGAAATCCTACCTTGTACCATCATGCTGTCGGGCAACTGTGGCTTGAGCGAACGGCATAGAATTGTTCGTGCCCAGATCGGGAATAAGTCCCCAATGTACTTACTGTTGGACACGGACTCTTCGATGTAGTCTTTCCATTCCTCAATAGTGACAAGCTTGTTGTTCCTGTACGAATCCGCACATCTGATAACGACATCCACATCATTTGCCAAGAATAGCTTCTCTGACCATCCAATCAGAGAAGACGCGTTGCCGTTCTCCAGCTCAGCAAAGGTATCAGCGAAGATAGGGAAGTAGGTACGCGGCTCGTAGAGGCCATATGATATGAGGGACTTGAGGTCCGAGTATGTGGCGAGTCCTGGTAAAGTGTTGCTGTCTATTCCACTGACCGCAATGGGGTGACTTGAGATGTTTCGGATGATTGTATCAACTCTGGACATGATGTTCTCTGGTGTAGACCCCCAGAAAGAACATAAGTCTGGACCAGCAGCATGACATAGAATCGAAAACTTCTCAAACGCCTTGTCAGAGTCAACAAAGTTACTGCGCCAGTTGTTGTCATAGTATTGATCGACATCCACGATGCTCTCAAGGACCAATCTTTCAACACGATCAGGGAACATGGATGCGAAAGTGGTACCAATAACAGAGGCATAGCTGTTGCCAAAGCCCCAGAGCTTGGCTTCTGAAGGTTTACGGCCCGCCAGCTTCGCGTCTGCCTCGATAAAGGTGAGAATGTCTCGCGCAACCGCAGGAGTGGTGATATAGTAGCCGAACGGCGACTTGGTCTTGACTTCCTCATTGCACAAATCGCCGTAGATTTCTGCTGAGTAGTATTGTTCCTCGAATGAGTTGGAGGATGTGTTCGTGGCGCCAGTGTAGTGTGCTCGGTTAAAGGCTGTTCGTGCTTCCTTGTTGTTTCGGAAGCAGTCAATTTTGGGGCCGCTTCTCTCCACACCGCGGGGGTCCAAGGCGACAAAATTGTAGGTTTCACCAAACATCGGTCCAAATTGGTCTTTGTATTCCTGCAAAAGGTCAATGCCAGAGCCACCTGGGCCGCCTGATACAGAGTTAGTTGGTTGCCATGAAATCGTATGGCTCTGGAGGGTTATACCTGGAATGATCAAGAAACTTTGGGAATCGGAAGTCGCATTCTTCCCAGCGAGCTTCATGAAAGCAATCGGCGCGGTGCCAATATTGGGGTTCGAGTAGTCAAGTGGAACTCTGAGTCTGGAACAGGTAAAATTGTCAAAACATGGTGTCCAGATGAGCTCAGCCGAAGGTTTGATCTATACATTCTGTCAGATAAGTTGGTCACAGTGGCAGCAGCATTCATGGATGTTCAAGGATCGTACTTCTTCAAAACTCTGGACCATGGTGGCATTTTCCTGACACTCCACTCTGCCTCCAAATCCTGCGAGAAGGACAAAGGTTACTGCGCTTCGCTTCATGTTGACGTATAAGATGTTTCAAAGAAGTTCAAGTATGATAGTGTCTACACAAACTGTTCTATTGAGGGAGGTGTTGAGACTACTTATACATCCCGAGAGAGCTTTAATAATCCTCATTCTTGCAAGATAAATCATTGTTTAATACTACACGTAACCATCTTACTCCACTCGTACGAACGAGCAAATAAACGAGTCTTGAATGAATACTAAGCCTCTAAAGACCGAGGGTATAACCTATTAGGACCCTTAAGTCATTCTACAAATGTGAAATTTGGGATCGTCAAGACCGAGCTGGTAGGATCTTGCAGTGAGCCTTGGCATATCCACCTGTACGAACTGACCAATGAGCAGACTCAATTTAAAGTAAGCACTATCTTTGTTCACCTTGACCCCTAGCCTGGTCAACTGATTGTCCCTCTTAACATTCGTTACCGTTGTTCTGTTCAAAACATCTTTGAGTACTATTTGCGCTGCTGAATCAGATTTGTGTACCACTTCTAGCTGCAGAAATGAACGATTCGAACAGAAAAACCGGAACTAGCAAGCAGGCCTGGAGGAAGAAACCTCGACAATTCACCCCAAAGTCAAGGCTGGGCTGTAAAACATGCAAGTAAGTCCCAACTAGCTCATCGCCATCATTTTTATCGAACAAATCGGACTGACCAACAACACTGAAGAATAAGACGAATAAAATGTGACCAGGCTCGGCCGTCATGTCTCAAGTGTCAGTCGACAGGGCGGATCTGCGACGGCTATGGTGTGGAATCGCACCTTGTCAGTGTTGATGCGAAGACAAGCCAATATCATCACTCAGGGCCTGCTACAACAGCAACCCGCGTCTTGGCAAACCCATGCGCTACTTCCAGCGTCCGACAAGCGCCACAACCACATTGCCAAAGTCATCACAGCCTGGTCTTGGAAAATCCGAGAGCGTTGATGTTGCTGCCAGTTGATTCAGCCCAGGCAGAAGCTATGTCATTTTTTGAAGTCATCTCCGTCAAGCATCTGAACGAATACTACCCGAGCAAGTCATGGCGCGAGACACTCATGTTCTTCTCCCAAACAATCCCATCAGTAAGACATGCTGCTGTTGCACTGTCCCTGATTCACCGAAACTACCATGACGGTTGTTCTAGACAGTTAGAGTACAAGGCCTTGTTCCATTATAACAAAGCCATACAGCTTTTTCTGGCACAGAAAAGTGGCGATAATGTCGAAGCAATGACAATCACACTATTAGTATGTTACCTATTCACAAGCTTCGACAACCTGGCGGGCAATTATCATCAGGCGATGGTACATCTGCAAGGAGGAGTAGAACTCTCACGCAATATTCCTAGTCCCATGCTAGACGGCAACTGCGTGTCTAGTGCAAACCTGTTCTTCATGGAAGTTGTGAAACAGCTGAGGCGTCTCGATATGCAAGCCGGTGCATATCTAGTCGGTTGGAGTCCGGTAGACACGCAGGAAACTGGAGAGGAAGCTCTTTTTTTGAGCAATACGTTTGAGTCAGTGGATCATGCCGCCAATTGCCACCAGATGTTACTTGCGCGGGCCATGAGATTACACTGGATGGCGCAAGAAGCATCCTTCATAGACGGCGTACCATCCGTCGATTCGAAACAGCTTGTTATTGAAGAGCTAGAGACATGGCGGCATCGATTTGACGATATGCTCAGCACAATCAATTACTATATTGTCGATATTGAGGAAAACCGTCTTATAACGTTATTGAAACTCCAAAATACCGTTCTTTGGATACTTGTCAGTAGTCTCGGCCCGGGTAGAGAGATGGAATACGACAAATTTCTGCCCGTATTTCAGCGATGCATCGCAATAGTAGATGAAGTCGCATTGGGGCACCAAAACTACGAAGGATCGTCAAAACCGAGATTCACGCAAGACGTAGCTATTATACCAATTCTGTATATCATCGGAGCCAAATGTCGGGACACAATGGTGCGAAGAGATGTGTTGAGAATCCTGCGACGACAGCCGCTCCGGGAGGCAGTCTGGGACAGTATGGCCACAGCGAGAGCTGTGGAGAGAATAGCTGAAGTTGAAGAAAGTAAATTTGGAGGGGGACTTAGAGGGACTATGGAGGAAATCGAAGTGTCACAGAGGGTCGAGTGTGTGTCTTGGGAGCAAGTGATCAACAGCCACTCCAGGACAAGAATCGAATTGGAGTATACGCTTTGCAAACAAGAGACAAAATATAAAGAGTCTCTGGTTATTTAACAATGTATTAGATTAAATAAAGAAAAACTAATTTCGAGATCTGCTTCGTATAGAGATAGCGCCCCAGGCGGAGAGATTAAAGCCTAAATACTAGCAATTTCAAGTTTCCATCTCATGGCACTTGAAAATGTTAAGTTGGGCCAATTAATGGAAATCTCTATGTCTCTAGTCTTGCCCGATCAGTCTTTGTTCGGATTCCAATTAACACAGAACTGGGCTAGTATCGTACAAGAACAAGCGATATGTTCCCAACTTGGCTCATGCCGTTCACTCATGCTACCCAGTGTTCAACGAAGCCCAATGATGCATCTGTTAGACATGGAAAGGATTAAAACTCCCAAAGTTTGCTGGTCCCATTGTGGAAAGATCTCAGAGCTAGAAATCTTGATTATACCGCCATCCCGGTGGGGGTTTACCAGCTTCCGAGTTTACCCATCGTTGGAGGGAATAAGCCCAAGCGTATTACAAAAGGCAGACTATGAGAAATATGATGGCGAAACACTATACGAGAATAACAAATTCGACCTTTCATAATACGTTCTTCAGTGGTGATAACATCAAATAGGACCTCTAGATGAACTGTGCAAGCTTCTACATATTCTGAAGCATGTGATAAACACGCATAACCTCATATCACGTTGTTTCAAAGTCACGTAAGAGTTCTTTACCGTCGTTTATAGATAAGAAAATTTTAGTTGTCCATTCTCAATCTGTCTAGAAAAAATGGGTTCGCACTTGAAATATCAAAACTCCAGTCCCAAGTCATACCAACTCCAGTCCTGAGAGTCCAGCTCTCAATGCACCCCCCCACCCTCATCTCTAACTTCTAGTACTGCCAATATTCAGTACTATCTTTGTCGACACACTGCAGCTTTCCGATCTTAGCCATCCAGCTGTTAAGTGCATCATCCCCGACACCACACCGAGCTTTACAGCTCTGGCACTGCTTCAGCACACCATTAGGTTTTGTTGAAGGCAGACTTGACCTCTTCCAGTGTCTTGTTGACACTTCCAGCTAGTGAGGTCTTTACAAACTTCACTCGCTGGCGGAGAGATCCCAGGCGTGATGAGCTTCTCTGAAGCCCACCAGCCGGACGTGGAGGTGACACGATATTTCCAATGTCCTGTTGACCTTGACCTGCGGCGACGTCAGTAGTTGACGCCGCTGGCTCGGACTGGAAGAACTGGGGGTTCCTCGCCCGGAACTCCAAATCTGCCGGCGAGCTACCGCCGACTCTCGTCAACTCCCCGTACTCCATTCCGGAAGCCGTCTCCCAGAGCGAACCATCTGACGCCCGGAAAGTGTATTTCCCGGTGTCAGAATCATAGCCGACGCGCTCCATACCTGGAGGGAGTCGGCCTTCGTCTGTATATAATGTCGCACGGCGCGGCATTTTGGCGATGGGTATACTGACGGATAGTAGAAAGTTGTTGTAGTTGCAGGAAAGTTTTCTTTCGTGCTTGATCTCTGGAGAGAATGGTTTGAGGAGGAAAGATTTCTTAGTTCTTAGGAGGAAATCTTCTCCCTTTTACACTCAGGGGTACGTACTCATAGCTCAGTTACAGACATATTTGTGCAATTTGAACACTTGAGATGTTCCTCTCGCATAGCTCTGTCCCATAAACAAGTATAGATCTGTGGTACTGTCTCTCAGTCGATGCCTAGAGGTCGTTGGTTAGTAGTCATGATATTGAACATATCAGATGTTGGTTTATAGTTCAAGTCGAACACAACTGCGATCCAATTGTGGTACAGGATTACAGATTCAATGCGATCGTTAATAAAAATATTTAGTTATGTACTGGAATTTGGTCGAAAATCCACCAGAACAAGAGAATATGTGAGCACATAGCTCTACATCATGTAGTGTCTGCTGGTTCTGTTTGCCATTGAGTAGAGAAGATATGACTAAACAAGAACCTTGGAACAACTCACGTGGCTGCATCCAATGGCCAGCCATAGATACATGGGAAGTTCTTTTGTCCGTATTATACTTGTTATTCCCAGAATCACCCCTCCCGACGCTCGCTTGGCATGCCTCTTTGAGAATTTCAATCGCTATAAATCGCTCATTTTCTATTCGTTCTTCACTTTACTCTTCAGTTAAACAATTTATCACGTATCTAAAAGTAATAGTTCATGTCATCTGTGTATTAGTTATGGCCGAGGAAACTACACCAGCAAAGACGGCTTCACCACAGTCGTCGCCGAATGAACAAGCACTGCCACCTGAGCCCGCGGGTCAGCTTGACGCAGATGACAACGTCACTGACGATGATTCAGCGCTCGGTTATACCGACGAGGAAAGCTCAACTGCTTCACTCAGCTCTACCATTTACAAGTTTAGAGAAGAGAATGGACGAACGTATCATGCTCATAAAGATGGCGCGTACATCGGCCCGAACGATGATCTGGAACAAGACCGATTGGACTTCCAGCACAGCCTCTGTCTTTTGACCTTTGACAACCAGCTTCATCTTGCTCCCATATACAAAGAGGGATGTATACCTGTGCGTCGTGTTCTCGATGTTGGCACGGGAACAGGAATCTGGGCAATGGACTTTGCCGATGAACACCCCATGACGGTTGTGACCGGAGTAGATTTGAGCCCAATCCAGCCATCTCTGGTGCCCCCAAACGTTCAGTTCCAGGTGGATGATATGGAGGATGAATGGACTTTTTCCGAGCCATTTGACTATATCTATTGCCGTTTCATGACTGTCTCGTTCGCTAATTGGCCAAGATTCTTTGATCAAAGCTTCAAAAACTTAACACCTGGTGGCTGGATTGAGGTTGTAGATATTCTACCTCCTACATCTGACGATGGTACCATGTCTCCAGACACGGCGCTCCATAAATGGTCGAATCTTTTACTGGAGAGCACAGAAAAGATTGGCCGACCATTTGGTGGAACAGCCTTTTATAAATCTCAGATGGAAGAGGTTGGCTTTAAGAACGTCACACTACGAGTTTACAAATGGCCTCAAAACCGTTGGCCAAAAGACAAAAAGTACAAAGAGCTAGGTAAGAGGCTCGTCATGTGAAGACAATGACATACTGACATGAACAAGGATCATGGACACTCGAGAACATTTCAAGCGGCCTCGAAGCGATCAGTAACGCTCTATTCACTAGAGTTTTGGGGTGGTCGAAGCCCGAGTTGGATGTGTTCCTCACTGACGTGCGTAAAGACATTAAAAATACATCAATCCACGCCTACTGGCCTGTGTAAGTTATTCATATCGCATTTCGAATATGTCTAACAAATATTCAGATATGTGATTTGCGGCCAAAAGACGTCTTGAACAGATGTTGGTATATGAGAAGACTCAAGTGGTATATATCCAGAACAATGGACAAGGAATGACATGCCAGATTATTGTTTTTATTTCAGCAATTGATATAGCGTAAAAGCCTGAATTCCTCTTGTGCTTGCTTGAACCGGTGTGTTTTGATGCCGAACACCTGAATTGATTACCAATTTTCTCATGTGGCTGAACACGACGACTGAAAAAGGAACAGCTGTGTGTTGAGCCGGAACATTTGTATTGGTTGCGCTGCTTCGTTTTTGAACAAGGATAATGACAAAGATCAAGTGTAATCGACCAACATCAAATGCAATGTCCATGTGTCGGGCGTCGGAGCGAAAAAGATTCCGATCACCGGAAGTCCGCAACGTACTCCGCAGGCCTAAGCTAATACATCCGGTCTGGAAGAACAAGCGTATATTTCGTAGACTGTGATTCTATAAGAACATGGATGCTGTTCTTATGTAACTTATCAAATCGAACGATTATTCTTACCCATAGAACGAGAGCATAATGTCTTCTATTGTCTTTGTAACCGGTGCGACAGGGAGACAGGGCTCCGCAGTTGCCAGACAACTCCTTGACATAGGCTGGACTGTACGCGCCACAGCTCGCAACATGGAGTCCCTCAACGCAAAGGAGCTCCAAAGCATGGGCGCCAAAGTGATTCCTGGTGACTGGGAAAACGAAAAAACTATCAAGGAAGCCATAGACGGATGCACTCATGTATTCTTGAACGTGGTACCCAACCTTGCAACCTTCACCTCTGAAGTCCCTCACGCTAAGCGAATCCTCGATATGGCGAAGCACACTGGCGTCAAACACGTTATTTACTCCAGCGGCATGGCCATAAAAGATCTTGAAAAGGGACAATACCACGATCCGAACCACCCGGTTTGTCGGGGACATGGCTGGAAACGAGACATAGAGAATCTCGTCCAAGAAGCTGGATTTGATGCCTGGACAATTCTTCGACCTGGGTTCTTCATGTGCAATCTTCTTGAACCGAAGGTGAACATGATGTATCCCGATCTCATACGTACCGGCATATTGAGGACGGCTTATACACCCGAAACACGTCTCCCGCATGTGGATGTGGAGGATATTGCAAAGTTTGCCGTTGCTGCATTCCGTGAGCCAGAGCGTTTCAACAGGCAGTTTGTACCAATTGCGAGCGAAAAGCTCTCCCTTGTTGAGATCACACGACAACTAGGGGAAGCGACTGGGAGGGATTTAAGAACCTCATTTTTAGCCAATAAGGAGATTGAAGAGAAGATGGCAACAGACTTTTTTGTTGCCATACAAGTCATGGCTCGAGACCTGGAGAACAAGGTCGATATCGATGATGTTCAGAGATGGGGAATTCCTTTGACTTCGTTTGCTGAGTTTCTCAAAAGGGAGGAATCCTGGGTTAAAAGCATATACACCTGACGGAGAGACAGAATAGGTGTCGCTGAGGTCAGTAGCCATATTGCTAGGCTCCAAGGTTCTAAAGGAGATGGCCTGAAGGTGTGCTCTGAGTGATAAGAACCAACGTGCATATTTCGTCTTTTTGTCCAGTGCACAAGTTCTCTGTCGTCTTGGAATAGGTGTCCGATATTGTGCGGAATCCTTCAGTGTCTGCCTGAGTCATGTTCACTCGGTCGTCTGAAGCATCAATAATAAATAAAATAAACTATTACTCTATGGTGGGATAATAACTTGCAGACTTTGTCTCAACAACTATGTACCAGAACCTGAATGTGCGGTCATTTTACAGCGCAGCTATAAAAACCACTTACTGTCATCAGAGTACCAGAAAAGTTGACTGTTAGGAGCATAAGGGACTAAATTACTAGGTCACTTTATGCTATTTAGACTATACTTTTTAGGCTATTTATGCTTGTCATCTAAAGCTTAAAAGTCAATTCTTCTGCTCTCTCACCACACCGGCAGTCATTCCACAATCTCATGGCATGCAAGAGACATTAATCTCTGAGTGTATGCGGTCTTTTGATGGCTGGAATGAAGCAAAAGCGGGTCTCGTCTTTCACTGAGAATAGTTGTCAACATGATTTAACCAGAGTCATATTACCGAGACCTCTAGAAAATAAACAACATTATCCCAAGACACAGTTCAAATGCTTCTGTTAGTAGCTACCTATGGAAGTTATGATTCGGAATTTTATTAGACCGAAGTTGAAGTCGATGGGCCTGATGTATCAATGACATCAACCATGATGATGACGATTGTATCTCGGCTTTTACAATGTCGTCATTATTTGCAGTTCAGCTTCCTCATTACCGAACTTGTAGCTACATCAACTCTTTCTTCTATTTCTCGACCTATAACCTCGCACCCTTGGTCATCTTCTTTGCAGTAAATCTCCACGACCAATTGCAAAAATGACCTTCGCACGCCAATCCTTGTCGTCGTTTCGACTCCCAACTATCACATCCGCCCTGCGAAGCAAACCTACGTACGGCCCATATACCTCTCTACGTATGGAGTCAGGAAAAGTCAAGACCCCCGTCTCGTCCGATCTCAAGCACGACAAGAAAGTCACAGACCATACCGATGGCGCCATGGCTTCGCTCAAGGGCACACCTGGAAAACAAAACGCAAACTCTTTCGAAAGCCAGAACTTGACAGAAAAGGAAAAGAAGACCAACAGTCAGAATGCACAAGCAAACGATAGCAATGAGGGCATGTCGGGCGAGAAGACGGATAGCTTTACAAAGTCGGGAAGGTCACACAAGGTGTAGATAAACATGGACTTTCGTGTCGAGACGATTGAAACGATACATGTGAGATATCCAAGAACAATCAGGGATTAATACAAAATCATTGATTTCACGATTGGACATGAGATTATTTGTGACGTTGTTCTGTCGAAACAACAGGTTGCCTGTTGACGGCACGTGATCTCGAACAGATTAATCCCAATTTGCACGTTTCACTAACAACTCAGCCTTTACATAAATCATCTAAAGCGTGTGCCATTTCAACAAAAATGTGCGGAATCATTCCATTCATGAAAGGCCTCTATGAAGATCTCCTAGAAGCCATAGACGACCTCTTTCCGAGCCAGACCGCCGATACAACTCCGCTCATGAACAACCGTCAATCGTTTCCGCTGTCACAACCCTACAACCAAGCGTACACATCAGCCTCTCGTCCAGTTGCAGAGGAACATTGTGAGGTCACAGAGAGACTAGAGGTCAGAACGGCTCGGGCAAGAATGCCTTCACCTCCGAGAGGGCAGCCGACCAGATGATTTGAGCCGAGTCTAAAGTTTGTTCCTTGTTCTCTCGAATGAACATCGCTAACCATGCCAGAACAGAGTCAATTTTCTATAGAGAGAGAATGGTATTGAAACTTGGAGGCACCCTTATATGATGACAGCGAAGATGATCATGAATGTTTGCTCAAGTAAGGCCGATAGAAAAGCTGTAAATAAATGAGAGGTCGCAAAATTCATATCCCAAGCATCCGACTCTCAATTACCCCTTCAAATCGCATTTCATCCAAGCTTTGCTGAAATTAATTGCGAATTCTTTCGCCCTCTTCTCATCCATAGGTTCATACTCATCTTTCTGCGGCTTCTCCCAAACAATTTTCGAAATGACACCTCCCTCCCTCTTAATGATCTTCTCGTTGTTGTATGCCTCGGCTGGCACTTGTCCGATAAGTGCGACATTCTCCATGCTACTCCAGCTTCTACACATCCGGACCCTGATGTTTCCCTCCTTGTCAGGCCCGTCGGTGCAACACATCCATCGGTCGTCCATATCTCGAGGGGTGAATCCATATATGAGTTTGATCATCTCGTGACCAGGGACATGGATACCCCATTCTGCGCTTAGAGGAACCTGAATTGGCTCTACGCTGTCATTGAAGCTGGCTCGCTCCGGTTTGTTGCTTGAAGTCATTATTCTGGCTTGATGTCTGAGAAGAGGAATATTTTAGGGTGAAATGGTGTTGGTGCGACGGGCAATTTACTATGTATGGTGCGTCATATTTAATATAGGAAGTTCTTTGGTCCTGTCAACCGAGCCATCAGCCCAACTAATCGTTGCTCCGCCTCAATGGGGCTTATATTTGCAGCTTCGACATAGCCTCACCGCCGATAGCGCTAATTATCGGACCAAAATCTGACAGGGCGGTTGTAAGCTGAAATGCCCGATTGCAAGTGTGATACTGGTGGGTTATTAATAATGAGAAAATAAACGTCTTTGCAAGTTGAGACTTGTTCAAGTGATCTGGCTCAAGTCAAGGAGATATCATGAGTTACTATCGCACCTGGGAAACGCTTCTCTCTACCATGCCTTCTCCAATCACAAACGCAGCCACTAATAAAAGTGGTACACTTTACCCATCTCATTTGTGACATTCACGTTCCATTGTAGTCCATGAGTCTTTACTGCTTTCTTCCAAATTGCCAGCGTCTCCTCACTTGCCTCAGGGACTTCCGGCTGGCCTACAAACTCGAGACAAGGCTCATCTTCTGATTTGGCGTTAAAGCAGATGCCAATTTGTGTACGACCATGGTGTATAATGTTCAGTTCCTCGATCTTTGGCATTCTAGTGGCGCAGGTCGCAGCAGCGATGGCGAATCTGTCCATGATACTTTGATCGTACGCGTATCCTTCCTTGCCATGCTGCCATTGAGCTATACACTCGCCTGAAGGCAAATGCTCTTTGAGTTCGAGGTGATAAAGACGTATACTCGGCCAGATGGCATCATCTTTCGGCTGTTGGGGCAAAAGGATTGTGCTGTCAACTCTGGCCAGGAGATAGAAATCGTCCAGCCCTTTTCTTTGGGTAAAGGAGTAGAAGGATAGACTTAGAACATCCTCTTGGGCGCTTGGGGGAACTGTGCTATTAGGACGGTCGACTGCAGATCGCGGTGGCTGACGTAAATAGCTTAGAGCAAAAGACTGAACAGACGTTGGAATGATCTCAAGTGTCCTTGAAAACACTGTAACGTTGATGTTAGGAAGGTCCCAGGACCATTCGGCTCATAGAAATAAAGTCCCCTTTTCATCTCTTGCACAGTACTCACTTGTTCTTTGACTCGTCCCAGCAGTCGAATCAATATTCTCTTCGTCGGTAAGCCACCATTCCACCTTTGATAGACGTGGCATCTTTGAAGCAATGCGGTTGATGGATGATGGCGAGAAGAGAATACTTTGAGAGCCAGGTTCGACTCTGAAATAGGAAACAGCTGGTATCTGGGCAATTTCCACGTCCCAGTCTTTGAATAGCTCGACATAGAAAGGCGTCACATTTCCAAACAGGACCTCTGTCCTTTCGCGAGACCGTTTCGTTTCATTCCGCAACAAACGAAGAGCGAACTTTTTGGGTGGCGTTATAAATATCTCCAAGCCAACTACTGGGGCCTCTCGAGGCGGGATTCGTGAAAGGACTTCGAGGAGGTGTCTGACACTTTTGCTGAAAACTAGGTGATCATCGTAATCTTCTTCTGGAATCGTCGATGCTGTTAGATTGTGTGCGGGAAATTCGAAATCGAACCATATATATCGGATGTAGCTAAGGCGAAGCGGCGTAAGGTAGTTTTCACGCTGAGCTTCATCAAGTCTCCTAGAATTTAAAATTAGGTGCCGAAACGTAATAGACTCGACGATGTCCCGCCATTGTCGAGAAACCGATGCGTATGATGCGAGTGAGGTTATGGGACAGCGTTCATTTATGTGAGGGACTAAACGCGCCGCGACAATCAATTTCGACACGATATTCCGGATGATTTCAGATGGAAGAGTGTCCATTATGCCCAAAGAGCTTTGCAGGCACGATTAGGCTGTTATCGCACGTACGTCTCTAGGTTGTGGAATTTGAGCTGGCGTGGAAAAGATGACCCATTTTCTGGTCAAAATGATCTTCGTTTGCCAAGCTGGACAGCCACGTGGAGTATGCTGACAGCCAGACCATGTTGGCTGATCTTTCACAATGGGACGCTATAACACCTCCATGAAGGAAAGAACAAAGATTAAACTTGGAGAACAATTAGGTCATATGGTAATTGCTCAAAGCGCGTTCTGTCGTCAGTAATTATTGGCCGTCCAAGCTCCGAGTTCAAGGTAAAGCCAAGCCTGACATCAAGATTCTACAGGCGCAGTCCATCGAGGCGGAACCTTGTATTTCATTTTGTCAGATCATATATTTCAAAGCCAAAAGGTGTCCCCCGTGGCTGTGATATCTTCCATGGAGGCGATTATAAATCAAGGGTCCAATGGGTAATAAATACTGTGCATATTTTGATGCGTCATTATGAGCGGGGTATGACATTTATAACGACCTTAGCTCGCCATGAATAGCTGACAGCCGGCATAAAATTATCATATTCCAAATTTATGCAGTTGTAAATTGAACAAATTTCATTCTTGTTCCATATCGACTGTTCAACAATGAGTGCCAGATACAGTCTCGCGGAACTCGCGCAGAGTCTCATCGAACACGGTCCTCGCAAAGCTCTCCCAACATCTCGCAGGATCCGGGCTATCCATAATCATATCACTGTTGTTGATACTACTAAAGCCGTCTATGTCTGGGAACACGATAACTTTCCCACAATTTACGTGCCTACGGTGGATATCAGGAACGGAAAATTGGCTGACAAGCAGAACATCTCGGTTGAGCTCAAGGAGCGAGCAGCAATCTCTCAACTCATCGTACCAGCTCATGATGTACTTGAAGAGAAGAAAGTTGATGGAGTCCTGAGATTCTTTCCAGATGTGACCCTTGGACCACTGTCCGATCTGGTACGAATCGATTTTCGTAGCATAGGTACGTGTCATAGTGTGGCCAGCAACGATATAAGGCTGACCATTTGACAGATCAATGGCTTGAGGAAGACGAACCCATTTTTGTACACGCCAAAGACCCATTCAAACGCGTTGACGTCCTCCGCTCTGAGCGCCCCATCGAGGTTCAAGTCGGCGGCAAAACCGTTGCCAAGACTGAATCGTCGATGCATCTCCTCGAAACAGGTCTGCCAACCCGCTACTACTTACCTCTTGCATCCGTCGACCAGACTGTTCTCAGAAAGAGCAACCTCAAGACTAAGTGTCCTTACAAAGGCGAGGCTGAATACTATCACGTCGTGGTAGATGGAAAGACTTATGAGAATTTGGTCTGGTATTATAATCATCCGACACATGAGAGCGGGGCTATTGCGAAACTGCTGTGCTTTTATAATGAAAAGGTTGATATACTCTTGGATGGGGAATTGCAGGACCGTCCCAAGACGAAGTTTGCTTGATGCGTTTCAATGCTAGCATCTGCCTTAACTCTACCTTCGCGCACCTCACAATTGCAATACAACTATTCATCATAGAAATGCTCAACAGCAATACTGTTTTTAGTAGTTAATGTGTGGTTAGAATGATGATCGCCTACAGTCACGCGGACAATAGCGTTGTTCAGATGCCAATATCCAGGTCAATTTATTAATGAATCACTAAGGCAACTTGCATGATATGATACAGGTACGCGGTTCAAGGAATAAGAAATTACAAGTGAAACATAACGACATGGCTTAATACAAAGCAAGCCCTTTTTGTCTCACCCGTTTCAGCTTCTATGACGATGAGACTTGTTACTAGCGGGACGTTCCTGGACTACCGATGCTTATTTCCCCATGCATAGGGATTGGAAGAGATTGCTTGCATGTATGACCGATACGAAGTTCGTCCTACCCACCTAAAATTCCATGTTATGTTTTAGTGATACAAAATTTATATCATGATTCAACGACGCCCTGTTTCTGAAATGATCTGTCGCACACCAAGCAAAAGCAATCTGTTCTGGTGAACACAGTTTTCCAGTCACATGCCAGTTTTGATCGGCGATTGTGGGAGGTGTTGCGCAGAATGGAAGTTGTCTTGATGTGCTTCCGTTAAATTGAGTTCGGTAGTTGGCTGCTTGGGCGGACCACACCGCCGGAACAATGCAGCAATCTGGACTCTGGAGATGTCATGTGTCAGTCAAAAGCCATGTGCTAAATATTATCCCTAGAATGGGACTTTTAGGGCCTCGTTCAGTTTCCCATGTCAATGAATCGAGACCCGTCCATCTGGATTTCTCACTGCGGGATCGGGGTACGTCGGTTACCAGGTTGCTCATCAGGCGACCATCGATGGTGCGCATTCAAGTAGCGCATGATCATGGATATCTCCCTGGATACCCGCTCTATCCTCAATTGTCAAACCAAGCCATGGTTGACGAACTTGTTTTTGCGGTAGTACTAGACTGAACGGTCAGTCCCCAGCCACCAAACACTAGGAGAGAAAGCCGGTGAGCAAGCGGGGAAGAGGAGAGAATCACCATCAGCTCACTTGACGAAAGCGGCAGTTTCATGCACTAATATTGTTCAGCAGACAATTATTGGTCCGGATGTATTGCATTGCATAGGCGTCGATATCTGGGGTTGCAACGCCTTATCGCGCCTGTATAGACATGGCTGGCCGAGGAGGAGCCGTTAAGGGTCTGTGCATTAGCGAGGTGAAGCATCAAAGAGAAGAGAAGAGAGAAAAGAAGACACCGTAAGACGGGCCCTGCTTCTGATTGATGCCCGCTTGCTGCAGATCAGCAAGCATGGGCCTTGATAAGGAAGCTAAAAGCCAAGCGACAGATCTGAATCCGATCTATCATCTGCTCCCAAGACCACACCATCACATACCGTTCTTTTTCACATTCTCTGAATGGTCTTTACCGTTTTCAGCCTCATCGTCACTTCTAGAAAGTCGGTGTCGATTGGCTCATTATCTCCCGCTAACGTTGGGCAGTTGAACGATTTCCGTTTCGCCACACCTGAATGATGGTGGGCTCTAATTAGTGTCATGTCTTGGCGGAATAACGGTGTACGACTTGGGGAGGGGGAGTAAGATCTTGGACCGATTTCGAGAACTGAGACAGGGTTGGTTGTTCGGTTTCATGGATTATTGATTCACCAATTGCAGAATGCAAGGTTTGTTTGACAGTGACAAAGTATGTTTGCATTTATTGATGTTAAAGTTCGTTTGACAGATTGACAGCTTGAATATGGTTTGCATGCACCCTGACGACACTGGATCAAGCGAAAGTATATTTTGCCACAGAAGGCAAAATGAAGAAAAAGAGCAAACAAAGTGCACCGATTAGCTTGCCACTGATCATCGATGCTTTCCACTGTACAGCATTGTCATACTAAGCACAAGAAGCGAAGTCATCGGACATGAATTGTAAAGAGATGGAAAACTGGGGAAGCCGAGAAAAAAGAAAAAGGAAAAAAAAAAGAAGAAAAAAAGGAAAAACTCTATGGTGGTGATTCATGTTAGTGCTGGAGAATCGATGTCTCGAGTAATGAGCAAGGGTTAACCCGGGAATGTTGTCCGAGAGGTATTGAACCTCGGCCAACGCTCATTCCAACATAAGCCAACATAAAATGCGACAATGAAGGATGTCTTACTCTTGAATGATAATGAGGGAATAATAATCCACTTTACCCCATGTCATATCTCCTGGTTGCATCATGACAGGAGCTGAAGGTGACCAGGATGATTGTCTTTTGTAGGCAGGCGCTGTAACTTGACCCATCCAGCCCCTCTATTGCCAAGTGATAACCGCTGCAAGAGCACTAAAGAACAAGCGAATTTTATCCGTAGCAGGGTTCCATGGTGGCCAGTGTATTCTTACGTGGGGGTTACAATAGCGAAAAGTCCAGTAGCACCGAAGTCGGTTTACGGGCCGGTCTACCACAAGCAGCAGAAGGAGACCAAAGCAGGAGCCTGATTCAGTGTGCGCCCATGGTGTGAAAAGTGAAATTCTATTAGCCTACCGACAACCTTAGTACTTGAAAGTCATATGGCCCGCCAAAAGATTTTTTCTTTTCTTCCCATCTTCCCTCCCGACCGTTGTTTCTTCTCTTTTTTCTTCTTCTTTTTATCGCGACCCAGTGGTTTCATCCATTCAATTTATCAAGTAAACAAAAGGGAAAAGAGGCAGTCGCGTCACCATTCAGATCATGAATCTCAGAGGAGTAAAGGTGGCTGACAAAGACCCAAACGCCTTTCCCACAAGGCAACTAACGATTCTCGGTACGTCATTTCCACTGAGCTTCACCGCATCGCATCGCTAACAACCACCAGCAATATGTCGTTTTTCTGAACCCATCGCCTTCAATTCCATTCTGGCCTACACTTTTTTAATGGTCAAGGAATTGGGTATTGACGAAAAAGATGCTTCATTTTACGCGGGACTTCTTGTATCGGCCTACGCCCTCGCGGAGGCCCTGACTTCTATGGGATGGGGTATTCTCTCCGATCGCATTGGCCGTAAGCCTGTTGTCTTGTTTGGACTCGTCGGTGTCGCTCTCTCCAGTCTTATCTTTGGTCTGGCCAAGTCTTACTGGGTTGCTCTTTTGGCACGATTTGTGGGCGGTGCTCTCAACGGCAACGTCTCTGTCATGCAGACCATGGTTGCTGAGATGGTGAAATTGCCAGAGCATGAGCGTAAGTTTTCTTCCCAATTTACCTCGAATGACGAACAGACGCTAATCATGCCACAGCCAAGGCTTATGCCGTTCAGCCTTTCATCTGGACTCTGGGTGGCATCATTGGCTCTGCCATGGGAGGTTTCCTTGCCCAGCCAGCCTACTGGTACCCTCGATTTTTCTCCGAAGAAGGACTTTTCGGGCGATACCCATTCCTGCTCCCCAACCTTGTTTCGGTCATTGTTGTCGTCATTGCCGTCATCCAGGGTATTTTCTTCCTTGAGGAGACCCTCGTCAGACCCGGTGAGGAGGCTGAGAACGCCGCTCTCAACTACCAGGATATTCCAGTCGTCGACGACCTGGAGTCCATCGACGAAAGAACCCCCCTCCACGGACGCGTTCGAAACCAGTACCGAAGCTCCGCCTCCCGCAGCCGCATGCGACACATGTCTCCCTCGACCAGCCGATCGCGCCCACGCTTTGCCGAGTCCAGTTTGGGTATGGCAGTTGAGCACGACTTCATCGATCTGCGCCGATCTTCCTTTGGAACCGTCCACTCTGTCCTACTGCCCCAGGATCTCCTAACACCGCCCAACGAGGAGCAGGAGGATGAAGGATCTGAGTCTAAAGAAAAGACGTTCAACTACACCGTTATGATGCTCATCGTCGCACTACTCATCTTCTCGTACCACCAAATGGCTGCAAGCAGCCTTCTTGCCACGTATCTGCTCGACGAACCCTCCGAAACACGCGGAACGCTTGACTTGGTTGGTGGTCTGGGCTACACTGTGCACGACGTCGGATTGTACTTGGCCGTCAATGGTGTTCTGGGCCTGCTCATCCAGGGCGTTGTCTTCCCCATGTACGTGAGCCGCGTGGGTGTGTGGCACTCGTTCCTTAGCATGATCGTCCTCTACCCAGTATCCTACATGCTCATGCCTTTCCTTTCCGCTTTTCCCGAGCCTTTCACCTCTGCTGGAATCTACTTGTCGCTCTTGATGCAGAGCTTCTGCGGTCTTATCGTGGCTCCTGTCTGCCTGATTCTCATCAAGGACGCCACACCCTCTCCAGCCGTGCTTGGACGGGTCAACGGACTCGCCATGTCTGGTGCTTGCCTGGCACGTACTATTGCTCCCCCTCTTGTTGGAGTTTTCTACGCACTTGCAGGTTCCGTGACAGCGTGGGCCAGTTGCGCTGTTGTTGCCGTCATTGGAGCCATCCAACTCCTCTGGATTCCACGAAGAACACTCAGGAGGGACGATATTGTGGTGGATAATGCCCTTACCACAACAGTCACCAATGAGTCCCATCGTGGTCGCCGTGGCAGGAACTCACTGTCATAGACAATGGCATCCTGCAACAACAGTAGTTTTTGGTAACCTGCCCGGTGGAATTATCCGGAGGTTTCCTTTATTTGCAGTATCATTAGCGTTGGAATACGCTATCAACCAACCGACAGAGGCCTGCACGAAACCGACGATGCGCTAAGAATCGACTTGCACATACCGGATGTCGACCGAACAATCACATATTATAGCTACGATCCGATCCCGACATCCATCGCAAGAACGATACCCGACTTCAATCCAAGAAGACGCAATCGACGCAATAATACCCTGCTTCGATTTCTTTATCATATCATGCACAACAGTATTCTCGAGCATATGTTCCCCTTACATGTTTGTTCCATGACACCAATGTAGCGGTTATCTGCCACCTTCTTTTTTTATCATCATCATCTTAGTCTTTTGGTCACTTTCTTGAACTTGTGCTTTCACGTTTATCATCATCTTGATTTTCGAGGCAAGGAGTAAAGTATGAGTCAAATGATTTCCGAGGTAAATGATGCTATTGAAGGCTGTCTTGTGTATGGCGATAACTACTCAAAACCTAAAACCTCGTACTGGATTTTACTTTTCTATGTTCTAAAATCTGCCCAAGGTACTTCGAAGCGTATAGACAGACTTTCATTTCTAGTATAGCTAGCAGAATTCAAACTTTGATTAACTTATTAAACTGATACGTGGCATCGATCAAGAGTGTATCGAAATGGTCTGTTCGTTGTTCGTTTCCATATACATGCGATGATGTGCAAAATACAGTATACATATTGCCACATGGATTGAATCAACAATGTCTCATTCTTACGGCTCAATGTTATACAGTTGGCTACACAAGCTTTTAACCAGAAACCCCAGGGTTTGGGTCGCTCTACCAAACTTCCAGTCCTTACACAGCATCAGGAACACAACGTTACTAGCCAAGTTTCCGGTAAAGCCACGTCACCAAGGCAAATTTGCTGCCCAGTACCCTCTACATGTCTTGCTATGGTGCCCGTATACAAAGCGATACTGATGTAGAAGCCAGCGAACCAAGGTCTCAGCTACCAGCCAACTAGCACTTGTAGCGTGTCCAATGGCACGCACCTACATCTGTGATCTTACTTGGTGTCGTTGGAGATGATCCGATGGCGCAAAAGGATGGCATGACTGACCCCGTAGAAGGGAACGATGTGGGCTGATAACGGAAGTGGCAGCCATTCAGAGGCACTTGGAGACACCCGAACATCGGAGAAAGTTCCATTGATAAGCAGCTATCTTATCTTGTGTTTTCCAACTACCGATATCAGGTCCCAGAGTCAATATAAGCCCACTTCGGACTTTGGGGTACAGGCAGAGAGGGAAGAAATGCGGGGAAGTTGGTGTGGGGGATTTCCTATTCCAGACCGATTCCCTTCATCCGAGCCGAAGCACCATCAGCCCGGAACAAAACCGACAAAGATATAAGAAGACACTCAAAGACTCGGATCTCCAGACTTTGAACTCCAATCTTATCTTACAACTCAATAATAATCTTAGTTTTCACTCAGTCCCAAGCTTTATCAACATGAGCTCCTCTATCCAGACACTTTGCCGTGGCGTTCGCGCTGCTCCCCAGACTCTCCGTCTCGGTCTCACCCAGACCCGACGATTGAGCACCACAGATCCTAGCCGAAGCGTTGCAAACGGCAGAGATACTGCTGTTCACGACCCCATCATGGACAGATTCTGGGGATCAACTCGTGTCAACATTTCCGAGTCTTCTCCCATTGTTACCGAGACCCCCAGCATGACTATGTCTAGCCGAGACCCTCCTCTGGGCACAAACGCCTTTGAGCCTTCATCTGCACCTCGCTGGTCTGGAATCAACCTCCCCTCAGGCCGTCAATAAATCTTGCGTGGCTGCTATTCACCACCACCATTAAATGCTTCGCCGCAAACCCGACGGCTAAGCAACACGACAAATTGGTTGGGGATTTATCCCACCAATAACGACATGAAATGAATAACCACGCCCCAACATTACATATCACACCACAAAGTTACTGGTTCCCTCCATTGCGCAGCGCATTCGAGAACTTTTTTTTTATCAAAGTGTTACCAAGTACTGCCAGAGATGGAAGTTGGAGTAATCGCACAGAGGTGGAGGAAGTCCCGCTTCAAGCGTGGAGGCTTGATCCACCAGGTCCGCGTCGGGGTTTAAAAGTAGCCCCGAGTTGACTTCAGCCATGAATGAGATGATGTCCCAGGGAAAGATGCGATCCCTTTTTTGTAAATAAGCAGGAGTTTCTGGGTTGCTAGTCACTAAACAAAGTATGTAAATTTTTATTGCATTTATGTCAGGTGACCAATTTGGTCACGGCAATATTTGACATGTCTTGTTCAAGAGTACGTGAGCTTATTGCAAAGTGTGTTCCACTGTGTTCGTCGCGAGCCAGAGATGTGCAACTACGTGTCAAGGTAATAACCGAAACTTTAGTTGCGGTAGCGGTCTAGCGCGCGCAAGCTTAAGAGATGATTGGTTGGTTACAGTAACCGATAGGCTTTTGTTCAAATTCAGGTCCTTAAAAATGTTATAAAAGCACAACAATATAATTGTTTGGGTACCACATGAACGCATTAACATGTCATTCCATCATGCAAGCACGCTGGCCGGGGGGCTTGTTCATGTAAAGTATATTCTTATCTAAATCATCATATTATGTACAAAGGCTGTTGTTCCTACAGGTACCCTTGGAAAGCCACGATGAGCATAGGGAGAGCCAAAAGGCTACCCGAACCTGCAAGGCTAATAGCAGAGTTGCCCTGATCGGCACTCGTTGTCGCCGATGCAGCAGCATCGGAGTTGGTGGGAGCCGAGCTAGTAGTATCTGAAGAATCATCCTCTGTCTTGGCTTGGTTCTGAGTCATGGGAGCAGCAGAGTCCGCAATCAACAAGTTGGAAATGACGGCGAAGTTGGCAAGCTTCTGCTCCAGTGCATCATTGCCGTTGCTCTCAGCCTTGAGGCTCTTGGCTGATTTGACGAGGACAGGGAGAACCTTGCTGGATAAGAAGGGAGCAAGTTTTGTGGTAACAGCGAGCCACCTGTGGGTAAGGGCCTTGTAAGTAAGGATATCACGGGGGCAAGTGCCCTTTGTGCATGCGACCTCCTTGAATTCACCGTTTTTGGTGAAGAAAGTGTCAAGAGTGGTCGTGACCATCTCCTCGGTAAGCCTCCTCCATGTGTCGTCCTCCTGAGAGGTCTAGCAGCCTGAGTCAGTATTGAACATTTCAATATTGAGGCACATGAACTCACAGTATTGTACAAGTAGGCAAGGCCCATGGAAAGTGACGCGGCATTGACCGACCACTGGACTTTGTTGATAGTAGTGCAGTTGTCATCAACATGCGCACCATCATAAACAGCGCCAGTCTTGCTGTCAATGAGATGTCTCTCGTCGAGCCACGAGTAGGACATTGTGACATAGTCCGCTACCTCCTCGCTACCGGTCCATCGATAGATGCGTGCTCCCAAGTTGAAGAACAACGCAGTCGACAAAGCTACGCACGTTAGTTATTTATTCCAGATTAGGTAGGGAAAACAATGTTTATCTACTTTGCTTATAAGTGAAACCACTATTGGTGGGCATGATCTGCCATCGGAGGCCACCGTAACAGACCTCACTGTCATCTTCGGCGTCCCATCGTTTGCGCTGTGTATCCCAAGTGTTCTTGGCGAGATTGTACCACTGGGCCTTTTTGTCTGAGGGCGCAGGGAAACCATACTCAGCAGCCGTCATGGCAGCCATTGCCCAGATAGCCTGATCGTCGTTTCCTTCTCGTGCAGTCTGGTTGGCCGGCATAAAATCCTTGTCCCGTCCAATCTGCCATTGAATGCCTTCTGCAACAAGGTCGTTGTAGGTGTCGTCGCCGGTCAATTGCCAATAGTCAACGAGGGAGCTCATGAAAGCTCCCGACTGGTACCAATAGTAGCCATCACCCAGTCCGTTGTCCTCTTCTAGGAGCCCTGGGATATTACCGCTCTTGTTGCCATTGTAGAACTCGATAAGGTCCCCAGCCAGGGCCTTGGAAGCCTCGAGAATGCCCTTTCTGCTATCCAGGTCCATAGACTGGACAGTCGTAGACTGTGCCAGGAGTAGGGCCACGCTAGCGATATTCTTTAACGCAAACATAACGAAGGAAGAGAAACGGTTGTGCAGGACGGAAGTAAGCAGATCGATCGCATCTCCACTGGAGCAGTGTCTGACTTTTTATTCTCCTTAGAAATACAGCGCGCTAAGCAGTTGGAGCTAACAAAGGCACAGTTGTTTTAGCGAAATGAAACAAGGAGAATCCTTCAAGTCTGTGCTGGCCCAATCATGTCATTTCCACTAGCTAACGTACATCACAAGCGAGTGTCCCACACAAGCGAGTGTCCCAAAAATCCCTCAACCTACACCATCACTATTCAATTAGA